CAATTTGTCAAGATCAACAACACAGAATCAGCAACCCTGCCGATAGAATGTGGGTGTCCCGAAGGTAGTATTCTGGGTCCTTTATTGTTCCTATGTTATCTGATTGACATGTCCATCAGTGTAAAATACAAGCTTCTGTTGTATGCAGATAACAGTGCTCTGTTAGTGTCAAGTAAAGACCCACAAGATATAGATAATGTACTATCACTAGAACTAGAGTCCTGCAGCAAATGGTCAGTAGACAACAAATTATCGTTACACTTCGGGAAAACGGACGCCCTACCCTTTGGCACGAAAAATGAACTGAAAGGGGTAAATAATTTTAATGTTCTGTGTAATGAGGAACCCATCACTTCAGTTTCCTCAGTGAAATGTCTGGGAATCTCCTTTGACCCATGCATGTCAGGAGAATTGATAGGAAAAAGCGTAGTAAAGAAAGTGATTGCCAAACAAAAGTAGGTAGACAGGCAGTATCTACCTACTGAGGCTCGCAGGACCCTATGTCTAGCTCTTATACAATGTCATATTGATTACTCTTGCTCTTCATGGCACTATCCCATAACAAAAAAAAAAACTGAAATACAGACTACAAATCACCCAGAATAAAATGGTGAGATTCATCCTGGACCTGGGACCAAGAGAGCATATAGGCCAGAATGAATCACAGCAGCTGGATATGCTGAATGTTGATGACAGAGTAAAACAACTGAAGCTAAATCACGATTATAAAATTACTCACAGACAGTATCCAGAATATCTTGCTGCTAATTTTGTCAAGGCTGGGAACCAAAGGTGGCCCGTGGCCTGGTAGGCAAACCCCTCGCTTCACACGCTGAGGGTTCGTGGTTCGATTCCCCGCAGGGGTAAAAACATAGGGTGTGTTTCCTTACACATGTTCCCCCATCAGTAAAATGGGTACAGGGGCGTTAGTCGAATGTTATGGGTCGTATCCTGGGGACAAAACTGACTTAATTTGCCCGAAATGCTGTACAATTAAGAGGCTTTCTATATAGTGGTGTGTCATTGATGTCAGCTAGGCCTGTATACCTTGTACATGTACAAGGCTACAGGCCTATTATTAAAGCAAGTACAGTACTAGGGGAAGGAACACTACTCTGTAGTACCCACAGTAGGTGGTCGTGTTTCTAACACATTTTATTGTACAGCAGTAAAGGAGTGGAACGGACTGCCTGCACATGTCAAAGCCTGTCATAGCATGAGCCAGTTCATGAGGAGAGCCAAAAGGTCAAAGCCTGTCACAGCATGAGCCAGTTCATGAGGAGAGCCAAAAGGTATCTAAAGGTGCTAAAGTAGAATAAGTTCACAATTTTGCCATTATATTCCAAAGCTCTTTTTTTTGATTACCACTTTATTGGTCACCACAACCTATATTAGTCCCTTTTATATTATAATTTTATACTATAATTCTAACTTTAAAAAATTACCTTTATAGTACTACCTACTATCATATTCCCAAGCTCCACTATTTGATCATCACTTTATTTGTATTAGTCCCTTAGCTCATTATTTTACATTTGTTAAATAATCCAGGTGCTATTTTTTAGCTTAAGACTATTTACTTTGTTTTATACTTAATTCAAACTATAGATTCACTATAAATCTTATGATTACAAGCATTGATCCTGATACCAACCTCTTATTTTAATGACTTAAATGAATCAAACAGTAACTGTAATTACTACACTGCAGAACAATCAAAGGCACTTCTCAGTGCCAACAACAACATAACTATATTTAACTACAATATCAGATCTTTAAGCAAGCATTACGATGACCTCATAGCATTACTAAATTCCTTGCATGCCAATATGCCCCATCATTACACTAACTGAAACCTGGCTAAAGCCTGATAGTACAGATGTCTATGCCATTCCTGGTTACACAGCCATACACAACTGTAGGCCAGATCAACAAGGGGGTGGCACAGCCATATACTACTCAGACCAACTAGAATGTATCACTAATACTTGCACAAGGGATGAACATGGGGAATATATAATAGCTAAATTCAAATCAAAGTACCTACAAAAACCTCTCACATTGATAAACATCTACAGAGTTCCACAGTCAAACATTAGCCAATTTAGTCAAAATCTAGGAAGTATGATAACTGATGCACGCATGAACAAAGATCACTTACTACTCTCAGGTGACTTCAATATAAATCTCCTGCAAGACCAGGACCCACACGTTACTGAATTCACAAACACAATGAGTAACTGTATGTTACTACCAACAGTAACAAAACCTACAAGAGTTACAGAGACTAGTGTTTCCCTACTTGACCACATCTGGACCAACACCATATCCCCTTTAAAATCAGGCATAATTACAGATAATACCACAGACCACTACCCTACTTTCCTCATAACAACTCTTGGTAAACTACCCCAAGACACTACTAAAGTCACCTTCAGACTTCACAATGAGGCAGCCATTAATAACTTCACAACAGCAATAGCAAACATTGATTGGCACACTGAGCTAGAAACCTATACAGATATTGACGAATGTATTAATAATTTTCTAAAAAAAAACCAATACCTCTATAACAAGCACTGCCCTAAAAAAACTAAACAGATGACAGCAAAGAGACTGAACAGTCCCTGGCTAACCCCCAGCATTCTCAAATCCATAAATACAAAACACCAATATGAAAAACAGTACAGAATGGGTCACATAACCAGAGACCAAACAAAACGTTACTCGTCAATCCTAACCAGCCTGATAAGAAGGGCAAAAAAATTGTATTATGAGAACAGATTATCCAACTTACGAGGTGATATAAAAAAGACCTGGAAAACCCTATCAGAAATTCTGGGAACAAAAAAGATATCACGAAATAGCGAAATAAAATTAGCAAAAACAGATGAACCCCAACTCCCACCAACAGAAACAGCAAACAGACTCAATGATTTCTTCTCCACTATAGGACAAAACCTTGCCAATAAAATCCCAAGCTCAGAAAACCCCACCAAATGACTACCTCACCGGCAACTACCCGAACACACTGTTCCTAGCTCCGACTAACCCATACGAAGTCTCCCTTATTATCAACGCACTAAAAAACAAGGCAGGAGATTTAAATACCTTACCACCCCTTATATACAAAAAAGTGTCACAAGTGCTATCACCAATCATTGCAACACTCTTTAACAAATCCATTGAATCCTCCACCTTCCCTACAGTACTCAAAATAGCAAGGGTCACCCCGATCCACAAAGGAGGAGACCAAACAGAGTTGAATAACTATAGGCCAATATCCAACTTACACCCTCTCTTAAAAATCTTCGAAAAATTAATTCATAAACGAATCTACTCCTACCTTATCTCCCAAAACATACTCAACCCCTGCCAATTTGGATTCAGGCCTAATAAAAATACTAATGATGCTATTATACACATGCTAGAACATATATACACTGCAATAGAGAAAAAAGAAGTCCCACTGAGGATCTTCATTGACTTACGTAAAGCTTTTGATACAGTTGACCATGACTTGCTCCACGTAAAATTGTCACACTATGGTATAAGAGGGCACTCCCTCAAGTCTTACCTCAGCAACAGAAGCCAATATGTGTACGCAAATGGGGCAAACTCTTCTGCACAACCAATTACAGTTGGTGTCCCACAGGGAAGTGTCCTTGGCCCTCTTCTCTTTCTCCTATACATAAATGACCTTCCAAATGCTTCGCAATTTTCTCAAACCCACACTATTTGCAGATGACACTACATACGTCTTCTCTCACCCGAGCCCAGTCACGCTAGCCAATACTGTAAATACCGAATTACAGAAAATATCTACCTGGATGAGGACTAACAAACTTACACTAAACATTGACAAAACCTACTTCATTCAGTTTGGTAACAGAGCTACAGATGTCCCTCTTAACATAATGATAAATGGATCACCTATCACAAAACTAACAGAGGGAAAATTCTTAGGAATCCACCTTGATAATAGACTCAAATTTCATACACATATACATCAAATTTCTAAGAAAATTTCCAAGACTGTAGGCATACTATCGAAGATACGGTACTATGTTCCACAGTCAGCCCTCCTGGCCCTATATCACTCTCTTATTTACCCCTATCTCACCTATGGAATTTGTGCATGGGGCTCAACAACAATTAACCATCTCAGACCACTAATTACCCAACAAAAGGCTGCAGTTAGAATGATAACAAATTCTCACTACAGGCAGCACACTCCACCAATATTCAATACACTAAACCTACTCACCATACAAAACATCCATACTTATTACTGCACCTATTACATACATAGAACACTTAACTCTGATATTAACCCTCCCCTCAAACATCTCCTTGCCAACCTCAACAGAACACATGACCATAACACAAGGCACAGATCACTCTTTGATGTTCCTCGTGTCCATCTCACACTATGCAAAAACTCAATGCACATAAAAGGCCCTAAAATCTGGAATTCATTACCTGTAAATATAAAAGAAACACTACCTGTTTATAAATTCAAGTCTCTTCTCAAAGATTACTTACTCACCCAAAACCAAATAAATACTGAATAACTGAACATTATAAATTGTATATCTTAAATGTTTCTCACAATTATATCACATAAATGTTAAACCTAAAACCCAATCTAACTTTATTATTTTTAAAATACACTACCTAACAGAATCACTACCTAACTGAATGCAACCATATGACCTGTCTTTGTAATACTCACTTGTGCTTTATAGTTATCTGTTTACATTAATGTTTTATCACAGATTTCATCATTGCTTAGTAGCAGCGCTGTATAGTCCTTGTGGCTTAGCGCTTCTTTTTGATTATAATAATAATAATAATCATTGCTTAGTTAATCTTAAGTTAATTTTAAGCCAGCCCGTAATGCTATGCATAGTATAAGTGGCTTTGGCATACTGCTCTTATCTGTATTTTTTTTTTTGTACCTCTGTATGTGTGCACAAATTGGAAATAAATAAATAAATAAATAAATAAATAAATGAAGCTACAGAAAGGGAGGAGAGTGATTACTTGTATAGCTAACATACATGTACCTATTTCTGTGATCGGATCCTCTCTTGAATGTTAATGTAAATAACTCAGTTTACCTTATTCTTAGTATATCTCCTTTTATTGTAACTGCTTTTCACATAGTTAAGTTACTTACATGTTATAACTTTTAAGGTCTAAATAATGAGTTATAACAAGGACCCAAAGGAAATAAGCCAGTGACTTTTTTCTGGGTTAACCTAGGTAATCTACAGATATGCTGTTACATATGATAATTTATGTAATTGTATTTATGTGTACCTGTACCTGAATAAACTTACTTAAGTTTACTGATACAAAACAATGCGGCTGCCACATGATGGTTCCAGACACGGGCTCTTCACGAGGGCGGCGATGAGGATACAAAGTTATCAGACAACGAAGATACTAACAAGTGTTGTTCTCTGTTTATGTCATTAGTGAATGTTGACAAGAAAACAATGTTATTAGCAAATAACTATATAATTGCCAGACAATTTTTTTCGGTGATGTCACAACCAAACGGCTTCTTTTCCTTGCCAAAATGTATTCCTTTTGGAGAATGTCAGTTCAACGCTATGTCACTAGCAGATACCCTGTTAGAAAATGTCTTTGCTTGACGATATCTCTTGCAAATAATGTTCTCAAAGATGTCCACTGGAGACGCCGCCCTTACTAGATGATGTCCTAGGCAAACGCCGTCCCATCTAATGGGTTTGAGAATTAAATGAGGGTGTGGTTCACGTAAGGGATAAGGTCGAAGGGTGAGGTGTGACACTGGTGGTAGCGTTCCTCACATCTGCTGGTCAGTTTACCATGTAACTCAGCCTCCAGGAAGACCTCGTACTCAGTTCCCTCGACAGTAGAGTCCGGTTGCCCTGCCACAGACGCTCTGTAGAAAAAATGGAAAGTTGGAGGTATGTTGGGAGAAGTGGAATACATGAGAAATCTAAAAATTGTAGCACAAACAATAAAATATATTTGCAAAGGTTAATTCATCAACATGCAAATGTTTCTACTTAGGTAAATTACAAGTCACACTCAAGTCACTTTCAGAATAGTTAAAATTTTCAGGTCACACCTAGTCACACTTTTAGCAATGTTCTCATCTTTCATTCCAGCCATTCTCCACGTAAATGCTCACGTAAGTAATCTGTTGATCATCTCTCCAGTGAGTCCCTGGTCGAAGGGAGCGTCTGCTACCTCACAGATCATCCTCAAAAGACAATTGTGGCCATCCATCCCTGCCCTGCCAAGAAACAATTCACACTGAAAGAGCAGAAGATATAAGAACTGTGGTTGTGATACAATGTAGCCTTAATAAAAGAAACCTAACTACAGTGTTACCTTGACTTATGAATTTAATTTGTTCCGTGACGGAGCTCGTAACTCAATTTGCTCGTATATCAAATAAATTTTCCTCATTGAAATTAATTGAAATACCATTAATCCGTGTCAGCCCCCCAAAAAACCACCCCAATTTTATTTCTTACGGGTTTTTAAATAAGAAAAATGTATTTATAAATAAAAAATATTGTATAAAACAAAAAAAAAACAAAAAACATAATAAAAGAATATAAAGAAATAAACTGGTTTATAAGACTGTGTTTACCTTGGAGATCAGACGACCTGGTTTAACGGAAGATACTGGCGGAGGTAGAGGGTGGGAAAGGTAGGCACCACCATCACTACTCCACCCACCACCTTCACTACTCCACCCACCACCATCACTACTCCACCCACCACCTTCACTACTCCACCCACCACCATCACTACTCCACCCACCACCTTCACTACTCCACCCACCACCATCACACTACTCCACCCACCACCTTCACTACTCCACCCACCACCATCACTACTCCACCCACCACCTTCACTACTCCACCCACCACCATCACTACTCCACCCACCACCTTCACTACTCCACCCACCACATCACTACTCCACCCACCACCTTCACTACTCCACCCACCACCATCACTACTCCACCCATCACTATCGCTACTCCACCCACTAATGACTACTCCACCCACTACTATCACTACTCCACCACTACTACACTCACTACTGTCACTACTCCACCCACTACTACACTCACTACTGTCACTACTCCACCCACTACTATCACTACTCCACCCACTACTATCAATATTCCACCCACGACTATCATTACTCCACCCACTACTATCAATACTCCACCCACTACTATCACTACTTCACCCACTACTATCAATACTCCACCCACTACTATCACTGCTCCACCCACTACTATCAATACTCCACCCACTACTATCACTACTCCACCCACTACTATCAATACTCCTCCCACTACTCCACCCACTACTATCAATACTCCACCCACTACTATCACTACTCCACCCACTACTATCAATACTCCACCCACTACTATCAATACTCCACCCACTATTATCACTACTCCACCCACTACTACACTCACTTCTATCACTGCTCCACCCACTACTACACTCACTGCTGTCACTACTCCACCCACTACTATCACTACTCCACCCACTACTATCAATATTCCACCCACGACTACCACTACTCCACCCGCTACTATCAATACTCCACCCACTACTATCACTACTCAACCCACTACTATCAATACTCCACCCACTACTATCACGACTTCACCCACTACTATCAATACTCCACCCACTACTATCACTGCTCCACCCACTACTATCAATGCTCCTCCCACTACTATCGCTACTCCACCCACTACTATCAATACTCCTCCCACTACTATCACTACACCCACTACTATCAATACTCCACCCACTACTATCAATACTCCACCCACTACTATCACTACTCCACCATTACTATCACTACTCCACCCACTACTATCACTACTCCACCCACTACTATCACTACTCCACCCACTACTATCAATACTCACCCACTACTATCAATACTCCACCCACTACTATCAATACTCCACCCACTACTATCACTAATCCACCCACTACTATCAATACTCCACCCACTACTATCAATACTCCACCCACTACTATCACTACTCCACCCACTACTATCACTACTCCACCCACTACTACACTCACTACTGTCACTACTCCACCCACTACTACACTCACTACTGTCACTACTATCACTACTCCACCCACTACTACACTCACTACTGTCACTACTATCACTACTCCACCCACTACTACACTCACTACTATCACTACTCCACCCACTACTATCACTACTCCACCCACTACTATCAATACTCCACCCACTACTATCACTACTCCACCCACTACTATCACTGCTCCACCCACTACTATCACTACTCCACCCACTACTATCAATACTCCACCCACTACTATCAATACTCCACCCACTACTATCACTACTCCACCCACTACTATCACTACTCCACCCACTACTATCACTACTCCACCCACTACTATCACTACTCCACCCACTACTATCAATACTCCACCCACTACTATCACTACTCCACCCACTACTATCACTACTCCACCCACTACTACACTCACTACTATCACTACTTCACCCACTACTACACTCACTACTGTCACTACTATCACTACTCCACCCACTACTATCAATACTCCACCCACTACTACACTCACTACTGTCACTACTCCACCCACTACTACACTCACTACTGTACTATCCACCCACTACTATCAATACTCCACTCACTACTATCAATACTCCACCCACTACTATCACTACTCCACCCACTACTATCACTACTCCACCCACTACTATCAATACTCCACCCACTACTATCACTACTCACCGCTACTATCACTACTCCACCCACTACTATCAATACTCCACCCACTACTATCAATACTCCACCCACTACTATCACTACGCCACCCGCTACTATCACTACTCCACCCACTACTATCACTACTCCACCCACTACTATCAATACTCCACCCACTACTATCACTACTCCACCCACTACTATCACTACTCCACCCACTACTATCAATACTTCACCCACTACTATCACTACTCCACGCACTACTATCACTACTTCACCCACTACTATCAATACTCCACCCACTACTATCACTACTCCACCCGCTACTATCAATACTCCACTCACTACTATCACTACTCCACCCGCTACTATCAATACTCCACCCACTACTATCACTACTCCACCCGCTACTATCAATACTCCACCCGCTATCACTACTCCACCCGCTACTATCACTATTCCACCCGCTACTATCACTATTCCACCCACTACTATCAATACTCCACCCGCTACTATCACTACTCCACCCGCTACTATCAATACTCCACCCGCTACTATCACTACTCCACCCGCTACTATCAATACTCCACTCACTACTATCACTACTCCACCCGCTACTATCAATACTCCACTCACTACTATCACTACTCCACCCGCTACTATCAATACTCCACCCACTACTATCACTACTCCACCCGCTACTATCAATACTCCACCCGCTACTATCACTACTCCACCCGCTACTATCACTACTCCACCCACTACTATCAATACTCCACCCGCTACTATCACTACTCCACCCGCTACTATCAATACTCCACCCGCTACTATCAATACTCCACCAACTACTATCACTACTCCACCCACTACTATCACTACTTCACCCACTACTATCAATACTCCACCCACTACTATCACTACTCCACCCGCTACTATCACTACTCCACCCACTACTATCACTACTCCACCCACTACTATCACTACTTCACCCACTACTATCAATACTCCACCCACTACTATCACTACTCCACCCGCTACTATCACTACTCCACCCAATACTATCACTACTCCACCCACTACTATCACTACTCCACCCAATACTATCACTACTCCACCCACTACTATCACTAGTCTACCCACTACTATCAAAACAAAAATTTAAAAATTAAAATTAAAATACTTTATTTCTCTATTGATATCACAATGTTAGAAAATATTATTGCTTCTGGTAAAATACTTATTACAAAGAAGGCCACTAGTATGCCTAGGTATTTCTGGCAGACTAATCTATTTATTGACACAGGTTATAAATCATACTGGTATTTAAGTCAGGTAGTTGTAGTGATGAACTAGATTTACAAAAGTGAGTTAGTCCAAAATATTTAAAAATTAACAATTAGTTTATCATCTTGGGATGATAGTTTTTATTAAAGTTGGTATAATGGAGTGTCTTACACAACCTTATGACTAACTTAAGAATTACGTAGCAGAAGTTTGATTTAAAATTTTATGTTGGCAGTCATTACTGTAAATTATGGGAAGTCACATATTAAATAAGTGTATTTTGTGTTGGATATGTGCAAGCTAGGTTTTTTTTATGTGGTTAGGTACCGGTGGTGTGTGTTAGGTACCGGTGGTGTGTGTTAGGTACCCGTGGGGTGTGTTAGGTACCCGTGGGGTGTGTTAGGTGCCGGTGGTGTGTGTTAGCTACCGGTGGAGTGTGTTAGGTACCGGTGGTGTGTGTTAGCTACCGGTGGAGTGTGTTAGGTACCGGTGGTGTGTGTTAGGTACCGGTGGTGTGTGTTAGGTACCCGTGGGGTGTGTTAGGTGCCGGTGGTGTGTGTTAGCTACCGGTGGAGTGTGTTAGGTACCGGTGGTGTGTGTTAGCTACTGGTGGAGTGTGTTAGGTACCGGTGGTGTGTGTTAGCTATCGGTGGTTGGTTAGCTACCGGTGGGGTGTGTTACCTACCGGTGGTGTGTGTTACCTACAGGTGGTGTGTGTTAGGTACCGGTGGTGTGTGTTAGGTACCGGTGGTGTGTGTTAGCTACCGGTGGGGTGTGTTAGCTACCTGTGGCGTGTGTTAGCTACCGGTGGGGTGTGTTAGGTACCGGTGGTGTGTGTGTTAGCTACCGGTGGTGTGTGTTAGCTACCGGTGGGGTGTGTTACCTACCGGTGGTGTGCTACCTACTGGTGGTGTGTGTTAGCTACCGGGGGGGGGGTGTTAGGTACCGGTGGTGTGTGTTAGCTACTTGTGGTGTGTTAGCTACCGTTGGTGTGTGTTAGCTACCGGTGGTGTGTGTTAGCTACCGGTGGGTGTGTTAGGTACCGGTGGTGTGTGTTTGCTACTTGTGGTGTGTTAGCTACCGGTGGTGTGTGTTAGCTACCGGTGGTGTGTGTTAGCTACCGGTGGTGTGTGTTAGCTACCGGTGGTGTGTGTTATGTACCGGTGGTGTGTTAGCTACCGGTGGTGCGTGTTAACTACCGGAGGTGTGTGTGTTAGCTACCGGTGGGGTGTGTTACCTACCGGTGGTGTTTGTTAGCTATCGGTGGTGTGTGTTATCTACCGGTGGTGTGTGGTAGGTACTGGTGGTGTGTGTTAGCTATGGGTGGTGTGTTAGCTACCGGTGGTGTGTGTTAGGTACCGGTGGTGTGTGTTAGCTACCGGTGGTGTGTTTTAGCTACCGGTGGTGTTAGGTACCGGTGGGGTGTGTTAGGTACCGGTGGTGTGTGTTAGCTACCGGTGGTGTGTTAGGTACCAGTGGTGTGTGTTAGCCACCGGTGGTGTGTGTTAACTACCGTGGGGTGTGTTAGCTACCGATGGGGTGTGTTAGCTATCGGTGGGGTGTGTCATAGAGATGTTTGTGTCTGGTATTATGCCTATGGGTCCTGTCACAACTATCAAGAAAGTGTTTTAGTTCAGGGTTAATATTGGAATTTATGGTTCTGTAAATGTAGACTGCAGAGTAGTGTGGATGTTCTGAACTGTGAGTAAGTTTAGGTCTTTGAAGAGTCGGGGTGTGTGTTGCCTAGCATTGGATTGTGTGATAATTTTTACTGTGGCTTTTTGTTGGGTTATTATTGGCTTTAGGTGGGTAATTGCTGTTGATCCTCAACCACAATGACATATGTGAGGTAGGGATAGATGAGTGAATAGTACAGTGTGAGTAGGGTTGATTGTGGTACATAGTAATGTATCTTACAGAGTATCCCAATAGGTTTGGATACTTTTTTTGTTATGTGATGGATATGGGTGTTGAAATTCAGGGTGCTGTCAAGGTGTAGGCCCAGGAATTTGCCCTCATTATGCTTAGCAATAGGAGCACTGTCGATCTTAATGTTGAGTTGTGCATCACCTGCTCTGTTACCAAACAGAATATAGAAGATTTTGTCAGTGTTAAGTGTAAGCTTATTGGCAGTCATCCAGGTTGATATTTTCAGGAGCTCTTCGCTACCAGGAGGCCTGGTCACAGACCGGGCCGCGGGGGCGTTGACCCCCGGAACTCTCTCCAGGTAAACTCCAGGTAACAATGGTGTTGAGTGAGGCAAGATTTGGGTGGGAGATGACATAAGTCGTGTCGTCAGCAAAGAGAATTGGTTTCAGGTGTTGTGATACGTTGGGAAGATCACTGATGTATAAAAGGAATAGCAGGGTACCTAGGACACTTCCCTGAGGCACTCCAGTATCAAGTGGTCGTGATGATGAGGTTGTGTCCTTAATGGAGTCGTATTGATACCTGTTAGTAACGTAGGATTTGAAATATGTAAGTGCATGGCCTCCTATACCATAATGGTCAAGTTTGTGGAGTAGGATGCTGTGGTCTACTGTATCAAAAGCTTTCCTTAGGTCAATAAAGAGTCCTAATGGATATTCCTTATTTTCCAGTGCAGTGTAGAGCAGGTCTAGCATTTCTACAATTGCATCGCTTGTGCTTTTGTTTTTCCTGAATCCAAACTGGCAAGGGTTGAGTATGCTGTGTGCTGTTATAAACGAATATTGTCTCTTGTGCACGAGTTTCTCGAAGATTTTGGATAGTAACGGTAAGTTTGATATTGGCCTGTAGTTATTTACATCTGTGGGGTCATCGCCTTTGTGTATTGGTGTAACCCTTGCTGTCTTGAGTAGTATCGAGAAGGTGCTAGTTTCTAGGGATTTGTTAAAAAGTGCTGTCTGTGATTATTCCTGATTTAAGTGGAGCTAGTATATTGGTCCATATATGGTCAATTATGGTTGCAGTTGTCTCTGTCAGCCTAGTTGGTTTAGTTATAGATGGTATGAGAAGTGTGCAGTTCATATTGTTGATGAAATTTCTTACTGTCTGGTCATCTGTTAGGCCAAGGTTGATGTTGAAGTCTCCGGCTAAGAGTAGGTGGTGTTTTTTTTAGTTTATTGTTTATTATTAATGTCTTTAATTTATCACTAAAATTAGGGATGTTTGTATGTGGCATCCGGTAAATGGCACCGATTGTAATAGGAGTCAAGGTTTTTTGCAATTTGCAAAAAATATATTCTCCATATTCATCACTAAAGCAAGTGTTGTTATAACAAGATAGATGGTTAGAGTAATAGATTGCAATACCTCCCCAACTTAGTATGGTCTGCAGTTGTGAATTACTGTGTATCCCAGTAGTGAGTAGATGTCAATTGTGTCCCAGTTAAGCCAGGTTTCAGTGAGAATAATACAGGAGCAGGTTGTCTGTAGGGAATCAAAGAGTGCCAGGAGGTCATCACAGTGTTTGCTCAGGGACCTGATATTGAAGTTAAGAAGAGTAATATTTTTAGAAGTATTTAGGACAGTGCTGGCTTGTGATGCTGTGTAATAGTGGTAGTTACTTTCCATTAAACTTTGATTGTGTGTTGGATTATATAGATTTAGATCTGGGTCGACGTAATCATTCATCATTTAGATTAAGTGGTAATTCTTTTTATCATGTATAATGTGTTGAGTTCCGGTACTGGTATCTGTAATAAGGGAATATTTGTACAAGTGTATAACTAATGCCTGTTGGTCAGATAGAGTGTATAAACTAATAAACATAATGGACTTAGTCTTGACCATTGTATTAAGCTAGTATTAAGTATTAACTTAATAGTATTAACTAGATATAAGCTAATAGGATAAACTTATAATACAACGTAGTACCAGTCTATGACATGTAAACACACTAAAGCTAACTTAAGTTGTTGACAACAGATAGTAGAATAATAAATGCACAGTTCTAAATTAAGGACTATATGATTATAAGATGGTAAACAACAGTTATTTATAAACAATACTTTACACCTGGAAAATCCTAGAGGGACTAGTACCGAACTTGCACACGAAAATCACTAACAACGGAAGCAAAAGACTTGGCAGACGATGCAACATCTCCCCAATGAAAAGCAGGGGTGTCACTAGCACGTTAAGAGACAATACAATAAGTGTCAGGGGCCCGAGACTGTTCAACTGCCTCCCAGCATACATAAGGGGGATTACCAATAGACCCCTGGCAGTCTTCAAGCTGGCACTGGACAAGCACCTAAAGTCGGTACCTGACCAGCCGGGCTGTGGCTCGTACGTTGGATTGCGTGCAGCCAGCAGTAACAATCTGGTTGATCAGGCTCTGATCCACCAGGAGGCCTGGTCACCCGGGCCGCGGGGGCGTTGACCCCCGGAACTCTCTCCAGGTAACCTCCAGGTAGGCGGGTATATTCGGTACTACAGATATGAATAAACTAAATTGCAATACTAATACGTATAATATTTATAAACTGGGAAATAAGGGAAAAATAGAGTAACATTGTGATAAATGGATAATAAGATATTTATAAACTGCTTCAAAAGGGAATAACTGGTAATACAGACATTAATAAAAAGTAGAATTACTTATTAACTTTAATAACAGTTAAAAAGAAATTTATAAAAAACAAAAATATTTATAAATGGTAAAAGTAAGGCAGTATAGGTGAAAATAAGCGCAGTACACTACAGAATATAAGGTAATTAAAAATAATATATGGCTCTATAGAGTCTGGTAAAAGATAATTATAAGTATAAGTGAAAATATTAGTAATGTCTGAACAACTCTGACAATTTACTGCTGTCAGATAAAGAATTGGAGGTTTGATAACACTGCTGGTGGAAGGTGGGTACAAACTGCATTTTTATTCCGATTCAGTGAGGATAGAATCTCTTAGGATTTTTTTTTTAGCTCATGTTCAGTGGAGATAAAATATTTCTTTCCCGTTGATTCCTTTTTAATAGCAATTTTCCCATCCCTCGCAGAGCACTGATGGATTTTCCGGTCATGTTTCAGCTTTCACCGCAGTTATATTCTATCCGACCTTATCTGCCACATTCTTCAGAGTAGTTTAATAGTCTGTGAATAACTTGCTCTGTGTATAGTACTAATAATGTTTCTCTAACTCATAATCAAGACAAATAAGAGATATCGAACTCATTGCAATGACCTAGTCGGATTCATCACTCATGGACCAGTTATAAAATACACAGAAAAGTGAAATAAGAGTTTCAACCTGCAAATATATTAAATTTAAATTTATGCCAGTGTATATATATTTTTTTTATATTGATCTTCCCAATACATAAGCTTTCTGAGAATAAATGGAAACCAACAGGAACATCAGCAGTTATATGTGGTTGGTGTAGACAGAAGTTGAGACAGTAATGTGAAAGTTTGCCTAATGTTATGTAGTAATAACTATCAACAAGACAGTTCGCTTGTTGTGACCAACAAGACAGTTCGCTTGTTGTGACCATCAACAAGACAGTTCGCTTGTTGTGACCAACAAGACAGTTCGCTTGTTGTGACCATCAACAAGACAGTTCGCTTGTTGTGACCATCAACAAGACAGTTCGCTTGTTGTGACCATCAACAAGACAGTTCGCTTGTTGTGACCATCAACAAGACAGTTCGCTTGTTGTGACCAACAAGACAGGTTCCTCGTTGTGAGGAAGGTATGATGCATCATGATGTATAACAGACAAATCATCCTTCATGATGGATACTCTAGATAAACATGGTTCTTGCTCTAGCCTTCTTAAATGTCTTATAAACCAAAATAGCCACATAATGCAGCAGTAGTGTTTGGTTTAAAAATACGTTTCCCCTTTACACTTGAGAAGCTAACTGGTGAGCGCAAAACAAACACGAAAGCTGATAAATCAACTGTTCAAAGTACGTTTAATTTTGTTTGTCGGAAAAGCTGAATGAATGAGATAGTTTGTGCTGTTACGTGGTGGGTGGAGCTTTGTGGCAGAGAGGTGGGTGTGAAGGGTAGGTACACTGCCAGCAGCACACATTTGTACATCACGCTGTTGTGTGCCCCGTGTCATATCTGCTGCACTGTCTCTTGCTACATCTCTCCACCGACGCTGTCCTCACCCAGAACAGACCGCCCAAAGCCAAGTCTCATCTACTAATAATCCAATCAGTACTGAAAAAGCAGCTATGAGACTACACATATTTCTCGTGGCAGTGATAATATATCTGCCTCAGTCAACGGAAGCAACAGTAAAACAAGACACCGCCTTTTCTTATAGCACGCACGCAGGTCTGAGCTGGCTGCAGGGTCTTGTGTCAGGTTCCAAGCCTTCCTCACGCAAGAAACGAGTCGTCGGCGTTCCCGTCGGATCAAATATTGAGGTAAACACTTTCGCAGTATGGTGAGACACTTGTGCAACATTTGGGAATCTTTATTCTGGAGACGTTTCGCCCTACAGTGGCTTTTTCAGTCCAATGCAAAAAAAGATGGAAGATGAGGAGGAGTTTGAGGTAATCAGTCCCTCAGCCTGGAGTCGATGTGTTCAGTCCATCAATCTTGACTTGTGTTAAAATCGATGTTCTTATATGTAGGATATGTGTAGGATGTTCTTATATGTAGGATGTTATGTGTAGGATGTTGTGTAGGATGTTCTTATGTGTAGAATAACAAAAAAAGGCACAATACCGTGACTGGAACGATACACAAATAACCCGCACATAAAAGAGAGGAGCTTACGACGACGTTTCGGTCCGAGTTGGACCATTTACAAAGTGTAGGATGTTATGTGTAGCATGTTATGCGCAGGATATTCTATGTAGGATGCTATGTGTCGGTTGTTATGTGTAGGATGTTCTTGTGTAGGATGTTCTTGTGTAGAATGTTATGTGTAGGATGTTCTTGTGTAGGATGTTATGTGTAGGATGTTGTGTAGGATGTTATGTGTAGGATGTTGTGTAGGATGTTCTTATGTGTAGGATGTTCTTGTGTAGGATGTTATGTGTAGGATGTTCTTGTGTAGGATGTTCTTATGTGTAGGATGTTCTTGTGTAGGATGTTCTTATGTGAAGGATGTTCTTGTGTAGGATGTTATGTGTAGGATGTCCTTAAGTGTAGGATGTCCTTAAGTGTAGGATGTTATGTGTAAGATGTTGTGTAGGATGTTATGTGTAGGATGTTCTTGTGTAGGATGTTCTTGTGTAGGATGTTATGTGTAGGATGTTCTTGTGTAGGATGTTATGTGTAGGATGTTATGTGTAGGATGTTATGTGTAGGATGTTGTATGTGTAGGATGTTTATGTGTAGGATGTTATGTGTAGGATGTTATGTGTATGATGTTATGTGTAGGATGTTATGTGAAGGATGTTTATGTGTAGGATGTTGTTATGTGTAGGATGTTATATGTGTAGGATGTTATGTGTATGTTATGTGTAGGATGTTGTGTGTAGATGTTATGTGTAGGATGTTCTTGTGTAATGTTATGTGTAGGATGTTCTTATGTAGGATATTATGTGTAGGATGTTATGTGTGATGTTGTTATGTGTAGGATGTTATGTGTAGGATGTTATGTGTAGGATGTTATGTGTAGGATGTTATGTTAGGATGTTATGTGTAGGATGTTATGTGTAGGTGTTATGTGTAGGATGTTATGTGTAGGATGTTATGTGTAGGATGTTATGTGTAGGATGTTATGTGTAGGATGTTATGTGTAGGATGTTATGTGTAGGATGTTATGTGTAGGATGTTATGTGTAAGGATGTTATGTGTAGGATGTTATGTGTAGGATGTTATGTGTAGGATGTTATGTGTAGGATGTTATGTGTAGGATGTTATGTGTAGGATGTTATGTAAGATGTTATGTGTAGGATGTTATGTGTAGGATGTTATGTGTAGGATGTATATGTGTGTAGGATGTTATGTGTAGATGTTATGTGAAGATATGTGTAGGATGTTATGTGTAGGATGTTATGTGTAGGATGTTATGTGTAGGATGTTTATGTGAAGGATGTTATGTGTAGGGTGTTATGTGTAGATGTTATGTGTAGGATGTTATGTGTAGGATGTTATGTGTAGGATGTTATGTGTAGGATGTTATGTGTAGGATATGTGTAGGATGTTATGTGTAGGATGTTATGTGTAGGATGTTATGTGTAGGATATGTGTAGGATGTTATGTGTAGGATGTTATGTGTAGGATGTTATGTGTAGGATGTTATGTGTAGGATGTTATGTGTAGGATGTTATGTGTAGGATGTTATGTGTATGGAATGTTATGTGTAGGATGTTATGTGTGGATGTTATGTGTAGATGTTATGGTAGGATGTTATGTGTAGGATGTTATGTGTAGGATGTTATGTGTAGGATGTTATGTGTAGGAATGTTATGTGTAGAGTTATGTTTAGGATGTTATGTGTAGGATGTGTCTTACTAATAAAAAGTTCGCCATTGTAATAGCTTTGTTTTTGGTGTCAAAATTAAAGGATATTATTATTATTTTTTCTTAAATAGTATTTTAAACTAATAAATTAATATTAAGAGACACATGACCTGATTATTGTTACTATCATAACCGAGCGCTAAACCCACAAGGGTCATACAGATACGTGACCTGAACAAAGTTTATTCTCTTAAGACGTTAACAGGGAAGGCAGAATACACTGTATTGCGGGAAAAAAGTGCCGGGAGCTGTGTTATGCTTTCCTTGTTAATGTTCTCACTGTCATACATCTTCCTCCCGCAGATAAAGTGGGCAATAAACTTCCCCTTCGACACCTTCACTTACTACAGCGGCAGGATCATGTTTGCTCTGCCAATCAAGGTGGCCTTCCCAAACTCCTTTATGACAGGCGGCCTCGGGAAGCGATCCGGTGACGCAGACAGTGATGAGTTGGAGTTCATGGAGTGTCCAGACCCCGAGCTAGACTGGCATAGCAAGTCGCGATGTGTCGCCCGGAAGGAACGTTTAACCCTCTACAAGCGACTGGAAGCAGTCTTCGATAAGTATGAAATTTTCCCGATGTTTTTTCCTAGTATATAAACTTGTACACATTCCTGAGAGCATTACTTAGTCTGCAGTCCACTGCAGCACAATGTATGTACCGCATTTGTTAGGAAAATGATAGGATGGATAATGAGAACCTTCAAAACTAGGGACGCCAAGCCCATGATTCTCTTCAACTTCTACTGCTGTACACTAACGGCCCCCTTCAAGGCTGGCGAAATTGTTGACCTGGAGAGTGTACAAATAACTTTCACGGCACACATAAGTACAATAAAGCACCTAAATTACTGGGAACGGTTGAAGTCCCTTGATTTGTATTCCCTGGAACGCAAGCGAGAGAGATACATGATAATATGTACCTGGAAAAACAGGGGCGCCAGGAGTACACTGAGAGACAACACAATAAGTGTACGGGGCCCAAGACTGTTCAACTGCCTCCCAGCATACATAAGGGGGATTACGAATAGACCCCTGGCTGTCTTCAAGAAGGCACTGGTCAGGCACCTAGTCAGTACCTGACCACCCGGGCTATGGTTCGTACGTCAGTTTGCGTGCGGCCAGCAGTAACAGCCTGGTTGATCAGACCCTGATCTATCACGAGGCCTGGTCTCAGAACGAGTAGCGGGGGCGTTGACCCTCGTAACCCTCTCCAGGTATACTCCAAGTATACCTGCACGATGTGATGAGGGCATAAGTTATGTGTTTACAACATAATTTATGTGTAACATGTACAAGGTGCAGAGCACATAAGTTATGTGATAAGATGGTATTATCTTGCAGCAAGTATCACCACTGCTACATCAGTCATACTGATATAAAGGTTGGAACTCTATCAGCAGTAATTATAACACTGTTCACTATACGTCAGTTGTTTTAATGGACACGGTCAACTGATAGTTTTACAGTAGATGCGTTTAGAGTCAAGTTTAAGATTATTAGAATAATGTATATATTTTTTTTTTAGTTTCGCTTAAAAACAGTTTCTCCCGTGAAGAAGATTTTGATATTTATGGGAAACGACTGAAACGGATGTTAAGTAACGCCTGAGGAAAGTGTCTGGTCCCAGGAGGGAAGAATAACTCGGATTACGTGGATCGTGAGCCCTCCAACACTTCTCTTCAAGGAATTAAGAACAAATATTTTGTATTCATCTTCCCGCTATGACCGAGGTATAATAATAATTATCATAAGGTTCTTATTCCACACGTGTTGAGCAATAATAGCAGTACAGTTAAGGAAGCCGGATGGAGACGACTGATACCTGGAGTTTGCCTGGAGAGAGTTCCGGGGGTCAACGCCCCCGCGGCCCGGTCTGTGACCAGGCCTCATGGTGGATCAGAGCCTGATCAACCAGGCTGTTACTGCTGGCTGCACGCAATCCAACGTACGAGCCACAGCCCGGCTCGTCAGGTACCGACTTTAATTACATCCGTAATTATAAACCTCTGACCCGCTTGTTAACCCGTTCTAAGGAGAGAATCAAATTGAGCGTAGGTGTTACAACGTTGTTAGGAGACCACCTATGTTAGGAGACCACCTGTGTGGTCACTGGTGGTCTCATAATAACGTTGTAACACCTACGGTCAATGTGGGTCTCTCCTTAGCACGGTTTAACAAGCGGATCACAGGATGATAATTACGGATCTCTTGCTATATAATGATATGTAAACTTAGGAGCTCAAGTCGAGAGCATCAACTGCACACCAGATAAAGCGCAAAAGAAGTTGACATGTCGACACAGTTTGTTGTTTGACTGAGACATCGAGGGAAGCAGCATAACGCGTGCGTATGTGACGCTGAAAGATTACATCTAGGCCAGTTGAGTCATAAGCAAGTTTGTTATTTCCTACGAAGCAAAACAGTGCTTGGCTGGAGTGTACAGAATTGTGTTCAAGTCTCAAGACAACACAATATTTAATAGATGTGAGAATCAGCAACAGACTTCTGTGGGCGTAAGGGAAGAGTTGCTTGGGATTAGATAAGTTTTTCTTGCCACTGGAGAGGAAATTTACAAATTTCACACGAATCTTGAAGAGGGAATAATAAAGAGCTTTTCTTTAGCGTATCTTCAGTATTTGGTCAACAAATGTTGGTCGAGATTATATTGTACAATGTTGACATTCTAGTGATCACAAACTAATTAAAAAAATACAACATGAACTTTTTAAAAATTTGTTTTTAATATATTCAGTGAAAGGAAAGTACCAGATGTGATCTATCTTAAGTTTTATACATATTTTGATAAGGTTCCTCGTCAGAGATTTCTTTCAAGAGTAAATTCACGTTGTATTGACAGATATGTGCTAAACCATACCACGGACGGGATTTGAACCCGCGGTCAGAGAGTCTCAAAACTCCAGACCGTCGCGTCTGGAGTTTTGAGACTCTGACCGGGGGTTCAAATCCCGTCCGTGGTGTGGTTTGTTTACAATCGTGTCATTACGATTTCGTGAGTCATGTGCTAAAATCTCTCTCCATGTTGCTACGCTTTTAATGGTTATTTTTCCTGAATTTTCACATGAGAGTAGCTGACGATCACAGAGCCAGGCAGATGTTGCACATGACACAGTTTTGCATGATCTCTGACTCTGGTGGAACGTTAGTTAAGTTACGTTAGGTAAAGTTCATCAGGAAACAGGACAAGTGGTACTTGACACAGGTCTTGGACGATGATCCGCCGTTAGAGCTTTTGCTCATCTGACCGAGACCTTCCGCTGGCTTACCGGTCCACCCCTTTAAAAATCATGGTTATAATTATAACCAACTGCTGATTCCTACTTGTACAGTATAATGTCATCAGTATATGGTGTTAGCTGAAATGCATTTCTGTGATATGGAGGAAGCAACCTTGACATACACAGAAACTGACTTCCAACTCGTATGTGTGTTAAGACTGAATACATTATGAAACGAAGTTTTTCTTAGTATAATGGAACAAATTATGAAACTTTGACGTTTTTATGAACGTTACGATTTTTATGTTGCCTTAATTTCAGCATTCTGTAATTAGAATATTTTGTATAGTGTACAAAGATTTTGTTAGTTTTTGGTAATTAAAAACCTAAATTCTTTTAATGATTTTTGTCCATGTTTTCACACAACTAATCTGATTCTGTGAGGACAGAGTTGAGATGGACGGACGCAAGTGTCTCCTGAGAACCATCTGCGAAGTGGCTGAGGCGCCCTTCGACCAGGGTCTCTTCGGAGACTTGCTCAACACACTCCTGACGTGAGTACTGCAGAGGACGTAGCTGTGGATTGAAGCATGTTAGTGTTAGGGGGAATTTCACATTATTATTATTATTAAAGATTCGCCGGTATTCTCCCGGCCCGGGCCTTTTCCAAGTGGTTGCCCGGCGTTGACTCCCTGTTTAGGGAGTGTCTGAGACCTAAGTCTCCCATGGGAGGAGGCACAAGTACCTCCTCATCTTTAGGACCAACTGTACCCAGGCCTAGCTTCTCGTAGGGAGAAGCTAGACCCCTCTGGTCTGCCACCCTCGCCCCAAGGGGGCTAATGGGAATGACAGGATTATGAGCTGCAAGCTCGGGCTCAGGCACTTAACCTACCCTAGAAGGGCTGGGCATGGTGTCGATGAATTTCACATTGTGCACATCAGAATTACTTTGTGTGTAGTTACTTGTTTGAGTTTCCGTGTTGCTAGTTACATGCAATTACCTATTTGTAGCTGCAATATCAGTCTTTCTTTTGGTTTGCCATCGTCATATTTTAATTTATAAGAATTACTTTTAAACCTCAAAATAATTTTAGCACACGCATTCTCTTCCTAGAGCTTATTTCATTCGTCAAATAATCTATTTACAAATACGTAGTTCCTTGAATATATTTTATCTCGTTTTCCCGCTACTTCATAGTGTCCTCTTGTCCACGCAGCTCTTTGTACCAAAAGTATTTACATTTTCTCAGATTTTCAGGAAACCACTGCTGGTTATTATATCTCATATACTATTTTAATATTTTTTTTCGGCCTTAGTTTCTTCGTGGCAAATATTTCTTAGTTGCGGAATGGAAAATTTTTCTTGCACGTCTGAGATTTTTTCTCTTTGGGTTATGTGTCTCTGAGTGTGGAAATGACATGAGAGTTGCGCACCTTAACATACACAAGAATTAATAACTACATGTTTTGAAAGTTACATATTACTAGCAGTAACACATTGTCGCATGACGATAATTTTGTTGTTTATTGTTACTATAAGATCTTTCAATCAGGTGTTCTTACCACTTAACCCAAAATTTGTACATTAAGTGGAGCGTGTGTTTATCTACAATAACCTCCAGCACAATGTTACAATGAGAGTCATCAACATTCATGTTTCCCATCTGATTAGTTTTGTTTTTGTATTAAATCATTTTTTTTCCTTTAGCAAATGACTTAAAAACATGACTAGAACTGGCACAGCACTGCTGGTTCTGCACCTTGATCACACCTGATGGCACAGTCTATCACACAGCACTGCTGGTTCTGCACCTTGATCACACCTGATGGCACAGTCTATCACACAGCACTGCTGGTTCTGCACCTTGATCACACCAGATGGCACTGTCTATCACACAGCACTGCTGGTTCTGCACCTTGATCACACCTGATGGCACAGTCTATTACACAGCACTGCTGGTTCTGCACCTTGATCACACCTGATGGCACAGTCTATCACACAGCACTGCTGGTTCTGCACCTTGATCACACCTGATGGCACAATCTATCACACAGCACTGCTGGTTCTGCACCTTGATCACACCTGATGGCACAGTCTATCACACAGCACTGCTGGTTCTGCACCTTGATCACACCTGATGGCACAGTCTATCACACAGCACCAGCTGGTTCTGCACCTTGATCACACCTGATGGCACAGTCTATCACACAGCACCAGCTGGTTCTGCACCTTGATCACACCTGATGGCACAGTCTATCACACAGCACCAGCTGGTTCTGCACCTTGATCACACCTGATGGCACAGTCTATCACACAGCACTGCTGGTTCTGCACCTTGATCACACCTGATGGCACAGTCTATCACACAGCACTGCTGGTTCTGCACCTTGATCACACCTGATGGCACAGTCTATCACACAGCACTGCTGGTTCTGCACCTTGATCACACCTGATGGCACAGTCTATCACACAGCACTGCTGGTTCTGCACCTTGATAACATCTGATGGCACAGTCTATCACACAGCACTGCTGGTTCTGCACCTTGATAACACCTGATGGCACAGTCTATCACACAGCACTGCTGGTTCTGCACCTTGATAACACCTAATGGCACAGTCTATCACACAGCACTGCTGGTTCTGCACCTTGATAACACCTGATGGCACAGTCTATCACACAGCACCAGCTGGTTCTGCACCTTGATAACACCTGATGGCACAGTCTATCACACAGCACTGCTGGTTCTGCACCTTGATAACACCTGAAGGCACAATCTATCACACAGCACCAGTTGGTTCTGCACCTTGATCACACCTGATGGCACAGTCTATCACACAGCACTGCTGGTTCTGCACCTTGATCACACCTGATGGCACAATCTATCACACAGCACCAGGGTGGTTCTGCACCTTGATAACACCTGATGGCACAGTCTATCACACAGCACCAGCTGGTTCTGCACCTTGATCACACCTGATGGCACAGTCTATCACACAGCACCAGCTGGTTCTGCACCTTGATAACACCTGATGGCACAGTCTATCACACAGCACCAGCTGGTTCTGCACCTTGATAGCACCTGATGGCACAGTCTATCACACAGCACTGCTGGTTCTGCACCTTGATAACACCTGATGGCACAATCTATCACACAGCACCAGTTGGTTCTGCACCTTGATCACACCTGATGGCACAGTCTATCACACAGCACTGCTGGTTCTGCACCTTGATCACACCTGATGGCACAATCTATCACACAGCACCAGCTGGTTCTGCACCTTGATAACACCTGATGGCACAGTCTATCACACAGCACCAGCTGGTTCTGCACCTTGATAGCACCTGATGGCACAGTCTATCACACAGCACTGCTGGTTCTGCACCTTGATAACACCTGATGGCACAATCTATCACACAGCACCAGTTGGTTCTGCACCTTGATCACACCTGATGGCACAGTCTATCACACAGCACTGCTGGTTCTGCACCTTGATCACACCTGATGGCACAGTCTATCACACAGCACTGCTGGTTCTGCACCTTGATAACACCTGATGGCACAGTCTATCACACAGCACCAGTTGGTTCTGCACCTTGATCACACCTGATGGCACAGTCTATCACACAGCACTGCTGGTTCTGCACCTTGATCACACCTGATGGCACAGTCTATCACACCCGCACCAGCTGGTTCTGCACCTTGATCACACCTGATGGCACAGTCTCTCACACAGCACTGCTGGTTCTGCACCTTGATCACACCTGATGGCACAGTCTATCACACAGCACCAGCTGATTCTGCACCTTGATCACACCTGATGGCACAGTCTATCACACAGCACCAGCTGGTTCTGCACCTTGATAACACCTGATGGCACAGTCTATCACACAGCACTGCTGGTTCTGCACCTTGATAACACCTGATGGCACAGTCTATCACACAGCACTGCTGGTTCTGCACCTTGATAACACCTAATGGCACAGTCTATCACACAGCACTGCTGGTTTCTGCACCTTGATAACACCTAATGGCACAGTCTATCACACAGCACTGCTGGTTCTGCACCTTGATAACACCTAATGGCACAGTCTATCACACAGCACTGCTGGTTCTGCACCTTGATAACACCTAATGGCACAGTCTATCACACACAGCACTGCTGGTTCTGCACCTTGATAACACCTAATGGCACAGTCTATCACACAGCACTGCTGGTTCTGCACCTTGATAACACCTAATGGCACAGTCTATCACACAGCACTGCTGGTTCTGCACCTTGATAACACCTAATGGCACAGTCTATCACACAGCACTGCTGGTTTCTGCACCTTGATAACACCTAATGGCACAGTCTATCACACAGCACTGCTGGTTCTGCACCTTGATAACACCTAATGGCACAGTCTATCACACAGCACTGCTGGTTTTGCACCTTGATAACACCTAATGGCACAGTCTATGACACAGCACCAGCTGGTTCTGCACCTTGATAACACTTATCACTCCTCTAGTCATATAAAGTCTTTCATTATTTTCATAGTATTTTCCTTTATTCCTTTTCTCCAAGTAATTTTTAATGAGGAAATCCATTCATTTTTTTTTAAATTTAAATAGCCACCTCATGCCTGCTTTTCCACTGTTACTTCTGACTCTCGTAATAACTTAATAGTGATGTAGGCTAGTGTTCACTTGAACACCAATTGTTTATCAGTTGTTACACCATTTTTTCATATATTTAAGCTACTTTTTTCTATTAGCTTCATAAACTGTTTTGTCACAAGCAAAACTATTCGAGGTCGAACTCTGTCGAGGAGAGACTTGTGAGCAAGTCTCCTAACACCTACTGTTCTTGGTATCTATCAGCTAATAGAAACCGAGGAACTAGTTAACTGTTGTGGATCGCAGTCCTGGGAAAGAACCTAAACGGAACTCCATAGAAATAAGCCAGAGAGCTAGGCTTTCTATGGTAACCCTGGGTTATAAACATTCAGGAATTATTAATCTAAATAAAGTTTTCTTCTTCTGGCCTTTGTTTCAAGGGCCCTTCTATACCACAATGCATTTTCATCCTTCAACTTTAATTTCTTCTTCATCTTCCTCTGAAATACTTTAACACATCATTCTTCTCCGCACTCCAGACCCTCGCTGGCTGGTCGACCAGACACTGTGGAGGAGAGGAAGGAGTATGACCACTTCCTGGAGGCTGAGTTACATGGTAAACTGAACGGCAGGTGTGAGGAGCGCTTCTACCAGTGTCACAACTCCGTCTTCGACCTCCTTCCATATGCTGTCCAAAACCTCTTATAGTTGTGAGCTTCTCTCTTCTACTGGAGCTCTTCTGGAACCACTGTTTGTCGGGAATGTTTTCTGATACTGTATTATCTCTCAGCGATACAAATTACTGTAGTACTATCGGAGTTGTTGAGCAAGAACATATTTTGGCAGAGGCAGCCTTTGGAAGGGAACCTCCAGCAGCTTCGTCGTTTGACAGCATCGTCACAACTATCTTTTTGTATAAAGTTACCATTGTTAATATAAACCTGTGATGTGTGCTATATAAACATGTGACGTGTGCCATATAAACATGTGACGTGTGCCATATAAACATGTGACGTGTGCCATATACACTGTACATTGATCTCATGATCATCAACATCACTCGTGTAATATTTCTTGTACTTTTATATTGTAACATATAAGTTAATGATAAATATTTGAAGATATCGAGTTTTTTTAATATATTCTTTATCCATGTGCCTGATTCATTTATGAATATATTTATTTGTCCATTTATTGTTAATTATTAGTATTTCAAAATTATTTATAAGAACGTTCAATATATCCAAATAATAGAAATGACAAAAAAATTATCTTTTATGATACTAGGCTTAAATAAATAAATTTTTCCGAAATGTTTGAAGCCTAATTAACACAATTTTTTTTAATATACAATTTTCGTACTAATTACAGGAAATTTAACTTTAAAGTAATTTCTTTAGAACTAAAAATTAGTGAAACATCTTACGTCAAGTATTTATGCAAATTTTCAATTGCATTTTCTCAAGAAAATTACTTGTGAAATCTGGAAAATTATTAAATTTTTATATACACCTAGAGCAGAGGTCTCCAACTTGCGGCCCGCGGGCCACCTGCGGCCCGAGGGTCACTTGCGGCCCGAGGGTCACATGCAGCCCGAGGGTCACCTGCAGCCCGAGGGTCACATGTGGCCCGAGGGCCACATGTGGCCCTTCTAGGAAATGGATGAGGTTCTCACATGAAATTATGAATTCACTTTTATACAGGTTCCACACTACAGTGTCAACAATAACAAAATATTACTGCTAATATTCATAAAAAATACAAAATGCGATCATCCCATAAACTTGGCTTTTCAAATTGGCCTATTGATACTTCAATATTGTGGAGGTAGAGCGCATCGGGACTCCACACACACGCTGACCACTGTGTAGTGCTGGAACTCCACACACACGCTGACCACTGTGTAGTGCTGGAACTCCACACACACGCTGACCACTGTGTAGTGCTGGAACTCCACACACACGCTGACCACTGTGTAGTATTGGAACTCCACACACACGCTGACCACTGTGTAGTGCTGGAACTCCACACACACGCTGACCACTGTGTAGTGCTGGAACTCCACACACACGCTGACCACTGTGTAGTGCTGGAACTCCACACACACGCTGACCACTGTGTAGTGCTGGAACTCCACACACACGCTGACCACTGTGTAGTGCTGGAACTCCACACACACGCTGACCACTGTGTAGTGCTGGAACTCCACACACACGCTGAACACTGTGTAGTGCTGGAACTCCACACACACGCTGACCACTGTGTAGTGCTGGAACTCCACACACACGCTGAACACTGTGTAGTGCTGGAACTCCACACACACGCTGACCACTGTGTAGTGCTGGAACTCCACACACACGCTGAACACTGTGTAGTGCTGGAACTCCACACACACGCTGAACACTGTGTAGTGCTGGAACTCCACACACACGCTGAACACTGTGTAGTGCTGGAACTCCACACACACGCTGAACACTGTGTAGTATTGGAACTCCACACACACGCTGAACACTGTGTAGTACTGGAACTCCACACACACACACACGCTGAACACTGTGTAGTACTGGAACTCCACACACACACACGCTGAACACTGTGTAGTACTGGAACTCCACACACACACACGCTGAACACTGTGTAGTACTGGAACTCCACACACACGCTGAACACTGTGTAGTGCTGGAACTCCACACACACGCTGAACACTGTGTAGTATTGGAACTCCACACACATGCTGAACACTGTGTAGTACTAGAACTCCACACACACACACGCTGAACACTGTGTAGTACTGGAACTCCACACACACACGCTGAACACTGTGTAGTACTGGAACTCCACACACTCGCTGAACACTGTGTAGCGCTGGAACTCCACACACACGCTGAACACTGTGTAGTGCTGGAACTCCACACACACGCTGAACACTGTGTAGTGCTGGAACTCCACACACACGCTGAACACTGTGTAGTAATGGAACTCCACACACACGCTGAACACTGTGTAGTACTGGAACTCCACACACACACGCTGAACACTGTGTAGTACTGGAACTCCACACACACGCTGAACACTGTGTAGTGCTGGAACTACACACACACGCTGAACACTGTGTAGTGCTGGAACTCCACACACACGCTGAACACTGTGTAGTATTGGAACTCCACACACGCTGAACACTGTGTAGTACTGGAACTCCACACACACGCTGAACACTGTGTAGTGCTGGAACTCCACACACACGCTGTACACTGTGTAGTGCTGGAACTCCACACACACACGCTGAACACTGTGTAGTATTGGAACTCCACAGACACGCTGAACACTGTGTAGTACTGGAACTCCATACACACGCTGAACACTGTGTAGTACTGGAACTCCACACACACGCTGACCACTGTGTAGTGCTGGAACTCCACACACACGCTGAACACTGTGTAGTGCTGGAACTCCACACACACGCTGAACACTGTGTAGTACTGGAACTCCACACACACGCTGAACACTGTGTAGTGCTGGAACTCCACACACACGCTGAACACTGTGTAATACTGGAACTCCACACACACGCTGAACACTGTGTAGTGCTGGAACTCCACACACACACGCTGAACACTGTGTAGTACTGGAACTCCACACACACGCTGAACACTGTGTAGTACTGGAACTCCACACACACGCTAAACACTGTGTAGTATTGGAACTCCACACACACGCTGAACACTGTGTAGTATTGGAACTCCACACACATGCTGAACACTGTGTAGTACTGGAACTCCACACACACGCTGAACACTGTGTAGTACTGGAACTCCACACACACGCTGAACACTGTGTAGTATTGGAACTCCACACACACGCTGAACACTGTGTAGTACTGGAACTCCACACACACGCTGAACACTGTGTAGTGCTGGAACTCCACACACACGCTGAACACTGTGTAGTACTGGAACTCCACACACACGCTGAACACTGTGTAGTGCTGGAACTCCACACACACGCTGAACACTGTGTAGTACTGGAACTCCACACACACGCTGAACACTGTGTAGTACTGAAACTGCACACACACGCTGAACACTGTGTAGTATTGGAACTCCACACACACGCTGAACACTGTGTAGTACTGGAACTGCACACACACGCTGAACACTGTGTAGTGCTGGAACTCCACACACACGCTGAACACTGTGTAGTATTGGAACTCCACACACACGCTGAACACTGTGTAGTATTGGAACTCCACACACACGCTGAACACTGTGTAGTATTGGAACTCCACACACACGCTGAACACTGTGTAGTATTGGAACTCCACACACACGCTGAACACTGTGTAGTACTGGAACTCCACACACACGCTGAACACTGTGTAGTACTGGAACTCCACACACACGCTGAACACTGTGTAGTATTGGAACTCCACACACACGCTGAACACTGTGTAGTACTGGAACTCCACACACACGCTGAACACTGTGTAGTGCTGGAACTCCACACACACGCTGAACACTGTGTAGTGCTGGAACTCCACACACACGCTGAACACTGTGTAGTGCTGGAACTCCACACACACGCTGAACATTGCAGTGCTGGAACTCCACACACACGCTGAACACTGTGTAGTGCTGGAACTCCACACACACGCTGAACACTGTGCAGTGCTGGAACTCCACACACACGCTGAACACTGTGTAGTACTGGAACTCCACACACACGCTGAGCACTGTGTAGTACTGGAACTCCACACACACGCTGAACACTGTGTAGTACTGGAACTCCACACACACGCTGAGCACTGTGTAGTACTGGAACTGAAGGTGACTCATAACATTCTGTAGTCTTGAAGGTCACATTCGCGGCTGACAACTCCAGAATTTTCCCAAGAAAATTCTTCTTTGAAGATATAGTGAATTTCTTACTAAATATCTCAACACCGTGAATCATTTCCTCCACCAGTGAGTTTGATCACTACCTTCCCGGAAGATTTCTTCAGATAAGAGGCTTGATCTTCTGTATCCTGAGCCCGAAACAGACGCGCTTCCTAAACCCACATGAGTTTAACGCTTAACACGAATTAAATTAATAATAATTTTCATATAAAACTACATATGATAGTGGTAGTTCTCTTTCTCCTTCATTATTATAGAAGCGCTAAACTCGCAGGGTCGTATACCGCCTGGAAAAGAGGAGGCAATCAAGTCCGATACAAAAAAGAGGACAGAGTCAGTTTTCTGGATCAAGAGCCCTCCACCGGCATCAAGGAACCTCTCCTCTTTTAGACAATATAGAATATTTCGAGAGCCATCCTACCATTTCTGTCAGACCTGGGAGGAGGAGGAGGAGGAGGAGGAGGAGGAGGAGGAGGAGGAGGAGGAGGAGGAGGAGGAGGAGGAGGAGGAGGGAGGAGGAGGAGGAGGAGGAGGAGGAGGAGGAGGAGCCGGAGGACGAGGAAGAGGAAGAGGGGGAGGAGGAGGAGGAGGAGGAGGAGGAGGAGGAGGAGGAGGAGCCGGGGAGGAGGAGCCAGAGGAGGAGGAAGAGGAAGAGGGGAGGAGGAGGAGCCGGAGGAGGAGGGGGAGGAAGAGGGGAGGAGGAGGAGGAGGAGGAGGAAGAGGGGAGAAGGAGCCGGAGGAGGAGGAGCCGGAGGAGGAGGAGGAGGAGGAGGAGGAGGAGGAGGAGGAGGAGGAGGAGGAGGAGGAGGAGGAGGAGGAGGAGGAGGAGCCGGAGGAGGAGGAGGAGGAGGAGGAGGAGGAGGAGGAGGAGGAGAAGGAGGAGGAGGAGAATATCGTCACTAAGTGGAACCAGAAACGGGGAGAATCCTGCTTCATTTTTTACACATCTCAACAATTTAATTCCCATTATTTAGTTCAAGAATAAAGTAAAGGAAGAAAACTCCTCTTATTAGACGCTCTTATGATTAGGAACAAAAGAACTATAATTCACGGAGTATAATATCCTACACTCTCCCAGCGGCATACACTTATATTCACTTAGGACAACTTGAAGGAAAGTGTCGTCTCAGGTCTCGTTCTTCCTAATAAATAAATAAAAAATAAATTAATAAAAAAACATAAGAAATAAATAAAAAAACATAAGAAATAAATAAAAAAAAAATTGCTGAAATTAGGCTACCCAAATTTGATCCTAGACCTACGAACCGTTAGTAACTAACAAAAACTGCTGCTTCAAGCCAAATTATATCAAAGAAAGCACATGAGAACCCCATCTCATGGGAGAACTTTCCTTTCTCGAAAACAAACTCTGAAAATTTAATGCCTCTTAAAGGGCAGTCTCCAGTTATCAAACGAATTCCAAGCTTCTTTTTAAAATTAGTGCACTGACAAATTTTCCCACACAAATAAAACTTATGGGTGTTATCCTAAAAGCTTGAGAAGGCTTCTCAAGCCGAAGGATACTTCTCTCGTTCCCAACACCGAGTCTTGGTTACAGTATGTTGACATGTAAAGTAAAAGGACACAAGTGCAACTAATGTGGGTAACATTACCCAAGTAATAGCTTTTATATCCTTTTACTCATGTACGAATTAATTGCTCTACCATATTGTATTACTTTTGTCACTACCACTACTACTACTACTACCACTAGTGAACATCGAAATGGTACCTCACTAGTATTCACCTCACTCTGAGCCTTTATATACCCTCTGTGTCCATGTATTGTTTGTAATGGCTTGATAAAGCTCCTGGAGAGCGAAACGTTGCCACAATAAATGTCACATTAGTTGCACTTGTGTCCTTTTACTTTACATATTGTCGGTAATTCTACCAACTTTATTACAGTATGTTGACAGCTTGGTGATGCGCTTTCATATCTATGTCCTCGACAGAAGAAACACTGTCTTCGTAGGTCGCTCGTTGTGGCCATCAACAAGGCAGACTGCTTTTTTCTTAACTTCAACGAGCAAGGTTGTCTGTTGTCAACATCAACGAGGCAGCTTGTCTGTTCTCAACATCAACGAGGCAGGTTAATCGCTGTCAACATCAACGAGGCAGGTTAATCGCTGTCAACATCAACGAGGCAGGTTAATCGCTGTCAACATCAACGAGGCATCTTTCTTATTGTCAACATCAACGAGGCAAGTTGCTGAGTGTCAACAAAGCAGGGAGTATCTTCGAACATTCATAACCCATCAGGAAAAACTTCACAATAGACATGGTATCCCTATGTTTCGCTAATTAAAAATGTGTTGTGCCGAGTTATACGTTTAAAACACATGAATAAAAATTTTAGTTATTGAAACAAATTATAGATCATAAATAAGAACCATTTACTTACTTTCGAAAGAGGTCCTCCAGATGTTTATAGAGGGACGCTCGCTCCTGTCGGGCGGCACGCATCGACTTCGAGTGCCACTGTACAGGGTCGCCATGCTCGGCCGGGTGCCAGTGAGCGAGGGGTCGAGTGATGTCGAATGGGTCGTCCAAGAACTGAATGTCGTCAAGGGTAACGTTTGCAAACCGCTTTCGGCGTTTGACCGTGATACCGACCGGGAAGGGCGAGTGAATGAGGATGGCGAGCCTTAACTTGGACCTGTAGAAGGTGAAGGTGTCGAAGGGGAAGTTTAGCGACCACTCCACCTGCAGGAGGAAGAACATAAGTGATATCTAACTTTGTAATGGGATAAATCCAGCTTTACATACAACCACTCGCCTGTACATCAGACGCAAAAAGAAAACACGAACACCATCTATCACTCCTGTTTATCATACCACAAAGTTCTTTATTCCACCACTACTTGACCATCGGTCCCTTGTTTATTAACATTATCATACAGTTTAATAAGGGAAAATAACATCAGCGACCATCCTAGCAGTGCAGATCACTTCATGCCTCCGATTTTCCTTAAAACGTTTTACCTCTAACATCAGTTGTATTTTTACAATAACGAAAACAATGCGAACTCACGACAACGAGTGTGTGTGAGCACTGAGACCATTGACAAATTTTCCCAGTCTGTTTGCCGAAGCTCTGTGCACAGAAGCCCTTCAAACTTTCATCAGCACTGGTGAACACCCCTCCACATGGATCGAAAAAACTGAAACCGACATTCACATGAATAATGTCACGGCAACAACTGCACTTCCCCGCTCCGTGGTAATTACCCAATTCCAAACTACCATCCCTCTGATTTACTTCTTAAATCACAACCCAAGTTTCTTCTTGAAGCCAAACATGATGCCTTAAGCTGTACTGATAACTCAGTCACACAGCACACTTTTACACAAATTATTTATGTTGATGGTTCTGTTCACCAATCCGCTGGTGCAGCTGGTAGTGCTGCTGTTGTCATACAGTGATGGCTCTCAGAAAGAAATTGGTGCACGCATCAATAACTGGGCCTCTACCCTTCAAACAGAATTGTGCCATACTCCTTGCACTCAAATGCGTCCATGTATCTAAGAATGACACTTTAACTGAACTGATTCTGTCATCCATAAATGCTCTCAACTCATTAAGCATAAATTGTGGCATGCTTGTGTCAGAAGCCAGACACAGGTATGGTAGGATGGTGGACAATGGAGTCAGAGTGCACATGCTGTGGATTCCATCTCACATCGGTCTTCAGATGCATGATAGAACTAATGAACTGGCTTAGTTGTATGTTTTCAAACAGGAGTAGGTTACAATCTTGGATTGTCAGTTAGTAGTTTGAGAATACGAAAAGAACTTCAACTGAATTTTATTGACTTAAGACTCGGGGAGATTGACACAAGTCAGTCCATCTATCATCATTCCATCATGCAGGAGGATCCACATGTCTACGGTGCATCCAACAAAATAAGCAGACTCTTGGATGTCACTACCGCCCGGCTCCGGCTGGGTTACAAGTATCTTTGGCAGGTTAAATCACCACCAGATGTAAACCAAACGAAATGTAACTGGATGTGGACGTGTGAATGGCTCATTACTTTGTAATTTGTTCATGATTGAAACCAGGTATAGACGTGTAGATGATTCATTACCTTTGTAACTTGGTCATGATTGTGACCAGATCTACCTGGAGTTCATTACCTTTGTAACTAGTTCAGCTATCATAACTTTGGGGCCCAGTCCCTGGACCCATTATGTACCTCTGTAATGTTTTGACTACCGCCCACAGGATGGGTATGGGGTGACTACCGCCCACAGGATGGGTATGGGGTGACTACCGCCCACAGGATGGGTATGGGGTGACTACCGCCCACAGGATGGGTATGGGGTGACTACCGCCCACAGGATGGGTATGGGGTGACTACCGCCCACAGTATGGGTATGGGGTGACTACCGCCCACAGGATGGGTATGGGGTGACTACCGCCCACAGGATGGGTATGGGGTGACAACCGCCCACAGGATGGGTATGGGGTGACTACCACCCACAGGATGGGTATGGGGTGACTACCACCCACAGGATGGGTATGGGGTTTATAATAAACATATTATTCACTATTCAACGGATATTTGAACTCCGGAGCTGCATATGATGATGCCGAGACTATCGTCAACACAGGTAGGCAAGCGGTCACCTCAGCAGTTTATTGGTAAACCCAGAATTTTTGGCAATCCACTTTTTTTAAGTATTTTTATGTTTATGGTCGGTGATGCAGGATCCCATGAATGTCACCGTGGCAACCTTGAACATTTGTGTACAGTTCAGGACACTCGAAGGAAATGCTTCGCCACGTATCCTTTTCCACAGTTTGTCGATATCCTCACCATTTACAACCAACTGTCATATCCGGTATAACCATACCTTCGCTACTAGTAAAGTTTGTTTCTTTGTAAAGGTTGTAATTACAATTCTGATTTACTTAGTACAAAGATAGCCATTATCATGCCCAGGCATTTTGCGCAAACTAATCCTAATATATAGTAACTAATTAAAACTAGATAAGATAATAGTACATAGTAACTATACTTAAAACTAGACAAAAAGTAGTGGTTAACTGTTTTACAATCTTATTTAAACTTAATACAAGTGAGAGGTAGTAAGGTGGAGTTGGGTTCGGTAAAATAATTCTGAAATTGCACACAAAATCTACGAGTAATGCTTCAGGTGGGTAATATTTTATGGAATGACAGAATTAAGAGCCTAGAGGTCACATAATAAAACTAGTTAGCAGATGTTTTGGTTGATTTGGTTAATATTGTGAGATAAGATGTTTTTTTAGCAAAGTCCTAAATTATAAGCTGTCAGGGGATCCTTTCCTTGTTCCGGTAGCGAGTTCCAGGACTTCAAATTCAAAGTTTATTCTCTATAAGGATTACAATGTTGAATTTACAGAATTTGGTTATTGTGTGGTTTACATGTAGTAAAATAATAATTACAGAGTGTACCACTAGAACACCTAACATGGCTAGGCATTTCGGGCAGACTTTGATTAGATCTTAAATTTAAAATATTACAAATTATGAGGTAAGTTGGTATTATGGCTAAGTGACTAAATACTAGTTTGTGAGTTTAGCAATGTGAATGCTTTTGTTTTGGCACAATACATAGTTTCGAGAGATGTTGAAAAGTGCCTTATGCCTTGTGTTGTGACTGTGCATTCTGTTGTAACTGTCGAGGATTAGTTTTAGGGGAGGGTTTACAGTGGGGTTTAATGTTCTGTATATGTAGTAGGCACAATAATAAGAGTGTATATCTTGTATATTTAGCAAGTTGAGTCTTTTGAAAAGTGGTGGTGTGTGCTGTCTAGCCCAGGAGCTGGTTATCACCCGCACACCAGCTTTTCGTTGGATTATTAAGGGTCTAAAGGTGGTATTTGAGCCCAAGGCACAAATACCATAGGTGAGGTAAGGATATATTAGAGAGTGTTACAGGGTAAGGAAAGTCGTTTGTGGTACATAGTATCGTATCTTGGAAAGGATTCCTACTGATTTGGAAATTTTCTTGGCTATGTGGTGGATATGGGACTGTATTGCAGTAAGTGTTACAAAACTATCTTGCAAATAATAACGGACTTAAACTCTTTTATTTTTATATGTTTTTTAAATAATAGGTGACATATCATATAAAATTAAATTAAAAATATACTAAAAATACTAAATTATTAATTAATATATATATATATATATATATATATATATATAATATATTATATAATATAATATATATATATATATATATATAATATATATATTTATATAAGATACAACAGTTTCCAGACAGGTGTATCAGTAGTTTTCAGTACCGACAATCTGATCAGTTAAAACACATGTGCAGTATCAGGGTACCACTAAATGGTTATAACTACTCCCATAATTTTTAAAGGGGTGGACCGGTAAGCCAGTGAAAGGCCTCGGTCAGATAACCAGAAGCGAGTCATCATCTGACTAAGACCCGCGTCAGGAAACACTTGTCCTGTTTCCTGACGAACCTTACCTAACCTAAATCAGGGTATCGACAGAGGAATGGGTTAGTGTAGACGGTAGAGCGTCGGACTGTCAATTAACGGACCGCGGTTCGAGCCATTCGTCTACCCTTCCGTTCATTTATTGACAAATGGTTATAATTATAGCGAAAATCCTCGGTCAGATGACCAAAACCTCCAGCTGCGGGTCATCATCTAAGACCCGCGTCAGGAAACACTTGTCCTGACCTGACATTTGACCTACCTGGGTATCGACTACGCTAGGGTCATTAAGGTTGCGTGTAACCCTTTCATCACCGGACAAGAATGCTTTAAACCTTAAAATAGGAATTAAAGTAAACTCAGTATATATACGCCGAGAGAAATAAATTTCCCAGCATATATATCCTCTGCAGAAAATATTGCTGTTTCCTGATGAGAAATAAACTCTCTACAACTATTTTTTGTATATGTTGATATTTAGAGTATTTTTTATATAATTACTTCACTATATATTTAGCACAAATATCCTCGAAATTACTTATAAAACTATATATTTCAGAGCATTACCCGGCTGGCATTATATAAGCTAGCTGGTGGCTGCAGAATATTCAATTGACATCCTAGTGGCATGATGTCGTATGTGCTTTGAATATACTCATTATAATGCTGTTTCTTGTTTAATATCGTTTATATTAAATTGAGATTAATTTGTTAGTTTTCTTACAACGTTGAATTTACAGGTTAGGCTAGGTTAGGCTAGGCTAGGCTAGGCTAGGCTAGGCTAGGCTAGGCTAGGCTAGGCTAGGCTAGGCTAGGCTAGGCTAGGCTAGGCTAGGCTAAGCTAAGCTAAGCTAGGCTAGGCTAGGCTAGGTTTGTCAGGAAACAGGACACGTTTCAGACTTACGTAAGGTATACCAACACTCACCCCGGAATACAACCCACGATAATCAACCAACACCCAAGGAAGTTTCTCGTTGCTAGGTAAATACTGGTAAACACTGGTAAGGAAACATGTCCAGCATTTTCATTCTTGTCAGTATCGAACCCGGATTGCTCAGCTGTGGGTCGCAGGTGCTACCACTTGAGGCACAAGTAAAAAGCCTATCGACTGCACTTGTGTTATGGCTGCAATTCGTCTATATACTGACAATACAGATAATTTTAATTAAAATTGCGAGTTAAGTCACTTTGGTGTATATACAGTATTGTAAGAGATCTTTTATGAATTATGTGAGCAAAGAGCCTGCATGAGGTTTTCAGAGTATTACCTGAACTATTACAGGCAAGTAATTTGGGTGAGATAAGTAGGACTTAAGTCACAGTAGGTCGCAGGACTGTACCTTCCTCGATGCCCACTTCATCACCACTCACAAAAACCTAGACCTAATAATTAAATTAATAATTACAATATTAAACATTAATACTATTAATGGTAAATTATAAAATAATGTTGACTGTATATGATTAGGCTTGCTGGGTACACAAAAAAATCGTATTACCACTTACCATTTAATTACTGTAGATGGATCACACTACAACACCTACCTGACACCTAGACCCTACACTGGTCAGCTAGAGATCTAATCTACAGCAGGGGACATTAACTAACACGGGTTCCTATTAGAAATTCAGGCCGAAAACTCCCCAATCTGCCTCGGAAGACGTCGAATTATTAGCTGAACTACCCACAACAACCAGTGCTCACAAATTACAAATGGCTTCCTCTGCGCGGCGTCACTTCCCCCGGTTGTTCTGCATCCCCCCCTCACTCAAAATTTCTCGAAGAGTCAAATCAGCATCATATATTAATGTGCAGTTATTATATAATTCATTTATGTGTTCTACATTTAGGAGAATTATATAAATTTTCCAGATCTATATTTCTAAGGGGGGGGGGGCGAATCGAAAGCTCCACACTTTCGTGTATTTAAACTCTGTATCCTCATACATTAAACAACTACAGAAAGAACGTTATAATAACTAATTATAAATGTACTAGGGTGGATATTTTATGCAAATACGAAAACATAGTAACTGAGAAACTAGAGAAAATATTCACATTTGAAAAAGAAATCTTACGTATATAGTTATATATATGTACATATATTTTTAATTATTTTTTAGTAATGACTGGATACACATAAACCCATGCAAGAGGGTAGGAAAAGAAGCGTAGTTTATAATATACCTCATGAAAAGAATCCAGAGGAAGACCAATGACGCGCTTCTGGCGAGAGTGAGGTTGAAAGATGGCAGCCAGGAGCTGTTTCAGCCACCTCTCACTTACAGTCATCTTCCTGGACAACTCTGAAGCCTCACTCAGTGCTCCTCTCGTCTCTAACACATACATTATTACTATCACTAGAAACACCTGTTTCATCACTGTGGGGTTGACTGGAAGTTTAGTCTCACAGGTTGCTCCTGGCAGCGTAGGTGAGGTCTAGCAGGATAGTAGTAAGCAAGGAAGGAGAAGACCCTACTCTTGCACACTGCTGTGTGGTAGTAGGCCTGGCACCTCAATATTCTACAATAACAGTTATTGTCGGCTCCTCCCCACCCTCCATGACGCTCCGCCCACTGCATGAAAGGTGAATAATTATGAACTGAACTTTTACACTTCCCTCTGGAACACTGATCAAGCTGAATGTAATATATGCAGACAACGTTAGTCCGCAGTTGTTAGTAGTACTGCTGCGTCTTTATTGGTTAGTAAACTGCCATGTGCGTCAAACAACTTTACTAAAGATTCCATTTATTTTAAAACCTGACACAGTATTGTTGGTGTCACTCCAAATAATTTCCAGCTGTCAGGTGTGTCTGATGTACTCATACCGACCACCGTACATGATAACATTCCCACCAGTTCCTAATAGATGGTTCCTCTGAACTGAAAGTACTCGTAGTTCATGGATTTAATGTAGCCATCACCTTCAGTACCGAGACTGTTGAGTTCAAGTCAGCAAGAGTCACTACTGCTTTCAGGAAAAATAGTAGATGGGATGCTAGTATGCAATGAAGATATTTATTGTAGTTCCATGAGGCTTTATTTAGAAAACGTTCCGCCTGTCCATTAATATAATATAATATCTTTATTTCTACAAGTACATGTACAAGGTATACAGTCCTAGCTGACATCAATAACATATTACTATATAGTAAGCCGCTTGTTATGCTGAGTATTTCGGGCAAATTAGGTCAATTTTGTCCCAGGATGCGATCCACACTAGTCGACCTTCTTCAGCACTTGTAGAGGCGAAACGTTGTCTAATGAAGCTTTTATAACAGCACTTTGTGTTTTTATTACGTATTCGTATGACATCAGTTGTTATAATTCAGCGTGATGTGTAAACCAGAGAAACCAAAATATTGCTATACACAATTAGCCCGCACATAAGAGAAAGAAAATTATGTACGGATTATTTGAATATTGATCCTCTCACGGTGTTGCGCCTTTTATTATTTACACCATTGCTAATAACATCCTACTTAGTTACTAATTAGGCTTCCGGGTATCTCATTCACCTGATAACGCTATTCCGACATCTCAACCCCTCAAGGGAGGTTCCTTGATGCTGGAGAGGGGCTCTTGATCTAGGGAACTGAATATGCGCTCCAGTTCCCTGAATTAAACCTGAATACCTTCCACTTCCCTACCCCCCACAGGCGCAGTATAATCCTACGGGTTTAGCGCTTCCTCCTTAATAATAATAAATAATAATAATAATAATAATAATCCGACATCTCAATGAATATAATGAATACCGCAATAAAAAAAAAACAGTATTAGGTGAGTCGGGTAATTAAAGGCCGTGTTTAATTACAAAGTTGTATACACATTTCAACTGTCACCTAATCCACCGAGAAAGCTTGTGGCTTAGGCTTAAAATGTGGGAGGAGCCTTTTAGGTGGTGGGGGGAGGGAGGGAGGGGTGGGTGGAGCTTGAGGTTGCTGCTGCTTCTGCCGCTGCTGCTGCTCAACATTACAGCGTCAGGCCTACAACCAGGTTGTGGTGTGCAAAGTTGGTGTGCTGCACGGTCTCCTCCCATTCTGCATGACCTAATACCAACGCTGCTATCACAGACACACCACCAGACCTTCACCAGCCTGTGTAACCTAACACACCAACGCTGTCATCACAAACACACTACCAGAATCGTCGCGACGCCTTGAAATATGCTCTTCATCAAACAAATAGTGATGAGATCACATATATTGATGATGGCGGTGTTAACGTGTGTGGTAGCCACAGATTTTGAGGTGGAACACCACGCTGGACCCCCAAGCTTGCCAGAAGAGGAATTGGAGCACCATTTATACGTTGGAGAACCCAGCTTGCCAGAAGAGGAACTGGAACACCATTCATACGTTGGGGAACCCAGCTTGCCAGAAGAGGAATTGGAACACCATTCGTACGTCGGGGAACCCAGCTTACCAGAAGAGGCACTGGAATACCATTCATACGTTGGGGAACCCAGCTTGCCAGAAGAGGAATTGGAACACCATTCATACGTTGGAGAACCCAGCTTTCCAGAAGAGGAATTGGAACACCATTCATACGCTGGGGAACCCAGCTTGCCAGAAGAGGAATTGGAACACCATTCATATGTCGGGGAACCCAGCTTACCAGAAGAGGAACTGGAACACCATTCATACGTCGGGGAACCCAGCTTGCCAGGGGAATATATCGAGGAACCTTATTTTGGAGAGAAGCCGTACGTGGGTTTTCCCCCTGGGTCATACATGGAGGTAAGTAGTTCCTTCAGTGTTGTATTGCAAGTTCTCAGTGGTTTACAGTGGTAAGTTTCGCCTTCACAGTGTTGTCTTGCACGTTGTTCTGAGTGGTCTTGCAAAACTAATTTGATTACCAATGTGTTTCCAAAAAATTAACTAAACTACCTTATATATATATATGTATAATATATATTATATATATATATATATATATATATATATATATATATATATATATATATATATATATATATATATATATATATATATATATATATATATATATATATATAGTCACATTTGTGTTCATATCCAATATGGTTTCTTTTTCTCCCGTTAATCAGTGACTGAAACATTTGCAAACAGTTTAAAGTGAAACTGAATTACACACTGCATAAAAAAATTAGATTTTGCATCCATCTTCCTGGTGCCATGACCCCAGCTGTGTGTGTGTGTGTGTGTGTGTGTGTGTGTGTGTGTGTGTGTGTGTGTGTGTGTGTGTGTGTGTAGGGCTCAGAGTATAGTATGGCTGAGGTCGTGGCATACATGAGATTGTGTCTGTATGTGTCGCTGAGGGTGTTAGCTGAGGTTGCATCTGAGAATATGACTAAGGATATAGCTGAGAGCATCTCTAAGCAACCGAAGCTTCTCTCCCCTTCCTTGGATCGAATCTGATTGCCTCCCATTCGCCAGGGCGCTGTATGACCTCCTACTGGTTTAGCGTTCCCCTCCCACACCCAGATCACATCAAATAAATACAATAAATTCACCCCAGTTCAACATCAATGATACTGAAGAAGAAACCACAGAATGGATGGGGTTTGAACCATGGCGAGTGAGTCGTAAAACTCTAGGCCAGTGCGTTAACCACTCAGCAAGTGGCCTGGAGTTTTACAACTGACATGCTATAATTTCAAACTCCACCCGTTACAGTGGTTTCTTTGCAATCCTGTTATTACGATTTCGTGTGTCATACTGAGGAAGAAACTGAATTACAGTATCCTGAAAACACCTGCTGCATCCCGCCACCTCCCCCTGTCGTCTCTCCCTCCCCTTCCCTTCTCCTTTTCCCCTTCTTCTCTCTCACCCTCTCCTCCCGTTCTAATTTTATAGTCTGTTAACTGCGGTCTGATTGTTGTGTGTGAGCGCGCATCTCATTCAAAGTACTTCATCGATACTGTATGAGGTCAGGCAGTGTACCTACTGATACACTGCTAGCAGTGTACCTGCTGATACACTGCTGGCAGTGTACCTATTGATACACTGCTGACAGTGTACCTACTGATACACTGCTGACTGTACCTACTGATACACTGCTGGCAGTGTACCTACTGATACACTGCTGACAGTGTACTTACTGATGAATTGCTGACAGTGTACGTACTGATACACTGCTGACAGTGTACCTGCTGATATACTGCTAGCAATGTACCTGCTGATACACTGCTGGCAGTGTACCTACTGATACACTGCTGACTGTACCTACTGATACACTGCTGGCAGTGTACCTACTGATACACTGCTGACAGTGTACCTACTGATACACTGCTGACAGTGTACCTACTGATACACTGCTGACTGTACCTACTGATACACTGCTGGCAGTGTACCTACTGATACACTGCTGACTGTACCTACTGATACACTGCTGGCTGTGTACCTACTGATACACTGCTGACAGTGTACCTACTGATACACTGCTGACAGTGTACTTACTGATGCATTGCTGACAGTGTACGTACTGATACACTACTGACAGTGTACCTGCTGATATACTGCTAGCAATGTACCTGCTGATACACTGCTGGCATGTACCTGCTGATACACTGCTGACAGTGTACCTACGATAACGCTGTGTACCTACTGATACACTGCTGACAGTGTACCTACTGATACACTGCTGACAGTGTACTTACTGATGCATTGCTGACAGTGTACGTACTGATACACTGCTGACAGTGTACCTGCTGATATACTGCTAGCAATGTACCTGCTGATACACTGCTGGCAGTGTACCTACTGATACACTGCTGACAGTGTACCTACTGATACACTGCTAGCAGTGTACCTGCTGATACACTGCTAGCAATGTACCTGCTGATACACTGCTGGCAGTGTGGTAAGACTGTTCGGGGGTGTAGTGCGGCAACAGTACTGGTCTTCAGCACATGGAGTGAGGGTTCGATCCTCCTTCCAGTAATCGCATCCCAAAGAATGAGCTATAATAACCAGATAATAAGTTAAAATAACCAAACAATGACTGTGCTTCCTGGCCGCATGAAGCTGCCTGAACGGCACCTCCGTGCATGTTTTGGGTCACTCATGGTAAGTCAACAATGTTTAACATTCTAATGTAGTCTCGGCTACTGGTTTAAGTCGTCAAAACAACTCAGACATTCATGGTAAGGTGAACCACCCCAGGGGAGCCACTCCCGCCATCTCCTGAACTACCATAAGTTTTAGCGCACTCAAGCTTAACCCGCCTCTTTGGGTTTCATTTCCTTCAACTGTAAGCAATTAAACGTAATTTTATATAGAATATTGGGTATATAGGATATAAGTAATAACTTACATGGAGACGGAAACTCAAATGATTAATTGATCTATGCATTTCTATCCCCTTCTGGGGTCCTCTTCAGCATGAACGACTGGGATCCTCTTCAGCCGAAGAGGATCCCAGAAGGGGATCGAAATACACATATCAATTAATCTTCTGAGTTTCTCTTTCCATGTGGGTAATTACTGAACACTGAGAAGTGTTCGTTACACTTTAGTTATATAAATGTACACTGTGAGGTGTATGACTCTCAGTGTATATATACTAAGAGCGTATTTTAATCCCTGTTTTAAGGGATTAATTTTCTCGACTGGTGAACAGGTGATATGCAGTCTTAATGACCCTTGTGTAGTTGATGAGACTTTAAAACCAACTAGAATCTACATTTAAATTTTTCCCTAAGAATGACTATGCTAAACTTGCTCAAACTAATGCAGGTAATTTTTCTTAATCTGTCTGGAAAACAGATATAACTTTGGTTAGCCTGTTCTTGGCAGGTTCAGGTGAGTCAGCGCTGCTTTCATCTACAGCTAACGTACAGCTGAGTGACTGTACGTAGCAAGTACATAGTGACACTTTACACTTCTACAGGTAACGTACAAGTGAGTGACTGTACGTAATAAGTGCAAAGTGACACTTCACACCAACGTACGACTCGTCAGAGACAAGACGGCGGCTCGAACCTCCATCACTGATACTATCCAATATTTCCACTTTTATTATTTATTTTTTTCTAGCGTTTTTAGTCGTTCGTGAAATGAATATTTCCCAATATTTTCACGTCTTTTTTTCCACATCATTTTTAGTTGTTCATGAAATGATTCCAATTTGTAAACTGAGTCACCATTATACTGCATTTTCTACGATGTAGGCTGATATATGCAGTAAAGCAACTATGTAATACAATGAAAATGGAACTCACAGATACAGTGGTCAGCCAACCTGCCCTTCGACACCTTCACCTACTACGGCGCCGTTCTGAGAATTGGCGTCCCAATCAAGTTCCCCTTTCCCGAGATAGTCATCTTGGACGTGGAGGAACGATCAGCGAGGAGCCAGGTGGAAGAGGGTGAGGGAGTGCACTCCACACACGGGGTGCGTGACCGCCTTCTGCAGAAGCTAGTCAGGTCGAGACGCATCGCTCGCCAGGAGAGAACAACTCTGTACCGGCGTATGGAAGATGCCTTACAAGAGTGAGTCCTACACTGCTGCCATAATTCCTTCCATAAGACTCAGATATTTAGATATTTATTTATTTTAGGTATAGTTGTTGTCTAAGAGTGCTAGATCTATTTACACTGGAGGACATACACTTCTCTGTGTATATACACTGGGAGATATTCAACTTTCAGTGCAAATCCTTTTTTTTTTTTGCAGTGATATTATATTGCAAATTGCTATTAATGTTATCACTGTTATTATTCCTTAGTCAAGGAACTTAATTACATTTTTTGTTATGTTTTGGGATAAATAATATGCCCGGTAAACTGTGCTGTCAGTTTCTCTTGAAGTCAGAGAAAATAACAGCATAGAAGCTTGTTTTGCAGTGTTTTGTCTGTTCTCCACATCATTTATTTACGTTTTTCCTATTCTCCTTCATGCCTGTGTGTGTTTTTCGTGGGTCAGTGCTGGGGTGGACGGTGCCAGCTGCCTCCTGAGAGCCATCTGTGAGGTGGCTGAGGCCCCCTTTGACCAGGGACTCATCGGTGACGTGATCAACACTCTCCTCACGTGAGTACTGCTGTTGTGGGTGTGGGGTGTGGCTAAGTATGTTGGTTGTAAATGGGGCTGGGCTGAGGTTGTGGATGGGTGTGTGACTGAGGGTACGAATGACGTAGTGTGTGTACTCACCTGATTTTGGTTGCAAGGTCGATTCATAGCTCCTGGCCCCGCTTTACTTCTCGCTAGGTCCGTTCTCTCCCTGCTCTGAGCTTTATCATACCTCTTGTTAAAGTTATGCATGGATCATGCCTCCACTGCATCACTCTCCAGACTATTCCACTTCCTGACAACTGTGACTAAAGAGGTACTTCCTAAGATCCCTGTGACTCATCTGAGTTTTCAACTTCAAGTTGTGACCCCTTGTTGCTGTGTCACTTCTCTGAAGCATTCTGTCCCTATCCACCTTGTCAATTCCTCTCAGTATTTTATATGCTGTTATCATGTCCTTCCTTATCCCTCATGTCCTCCAATGTTGTCAGGTTGAGTTCTCTTAACTTCTCCTTGTAGGACAAACCTCTCAGCTCTGGGACTAGTCTTGTCGCAAACCTCTGCATCTTTTCTGATTTCTTGACGTGTTTGACCAGGTGTGGGTTCCATATTAGTGCTGTATACTCCAATATGGGCCTGACGTACACGGTGTAGTGTCGTCAATGATTTTATTTAGATGTCTAAACGCTATTCTTAGGTTTGCCAGGAGCCCGTATGCTGCAGTAGTTATTTGGTTAATGTGCGCTTCAGGAGATGTGCTCGGTATGACGCAAACCCCAAGATCTTTTTCCTTGAGTGAGTTTTGCAGCATCTGATCTCCTAGGCTGTACTCCATCTGCGGTCTCCTTTGTCTTTTCTCAAGCTTCATAACTTTGTACTTGCTGGGATTAAACTCAAGGAGCCATTTGTCAGACCAGGCTTGCAGCCTATCCACATCCTCTTGCAGGCTTATCTGATCCTCGTCTGCTTGTATTCTTCTCCTTAATTTCATATCGTCTTCAAACAGGGACGCCTCTGACTGTCCCTTCCGTCATGTCATTCACATATACAAGAAACAGCACCGGACCTAGGACTGACCCTTGTAGAACCACTCGACACAGGCAACCACTCTGTCACTTCGTCTTGTACCGACACACGTTGTTTCCTTCCTGTCACATCTCCCGAGTCCAAGAAGAAGCAGTCTACCTATCCCTCTCTCTCCTGTCTCACTTTTGTTACCGTGTCACAGAACTCCAATAGGTTAGTGATGCAGGATTTCCCTTCCCTAAAGCCGTGCTGGTTAGCATGTAGTACTCCATTCCTTTGTAGGTGCTCCACCGCTCTTTTCCTGATAATGTTCTCCATAACTTTACATGCACAGGCAATACATGTCAGCAACACTGGTCTGTAATTTAGTGCAGCCTTTCTCCTTTCTTAAAAATCGGGACTGCATTTGCTGTTCCACACCTTAGGTAGTTGGGCGGTGTCGATAAATTTATTGAAGATTGTTGTTAGTGGTACACACAGAGTATCTGCACCCTCTCTCAGGACCCAAGGAGATACATTATCTGGGCCCACCGCCTTCGAGGTACCTGGTTTCCCTAGCAATTTCTTCACCTCCTCCTCGGTTGTGTGCATGTGTCCAGCACTTGCTGGTGCACCCTACCACCCTGGGTTGCTGGGAGCTTCTCTGCCTCCACTGTGAATGCCTCCCTGAATTCTGAGCTGAGCACTTCGCATACTTCCTGGTCGTTCCCTGTAAGCTCTCCTCCTTCCTTCCTCAGCCTGATTACCTGGTCCTTGACTGTTATTTTCCTCCTTTTGTGGCTGTATAACAACTTTGGGTGAGATTTATCTTTTGATGCTAAGTCATTCTCTTATCGATGTTGGGCTTCTCTCCTTATCCATGCATAATCATTTGTGGCTCTTCGGCTCAACTCCGTTTTCCTGCGTTCTTTGCTGTCTATATTTTTTTTTTCCATATTCTAGCACACTTGGCTTTGGCCTCTCCACACCTCTTGGTAAACCATGAGCTCACTCCGGTCTTTTCGTTGTTTCTGTTGCCCCTTGGTACGAACTTCTCCACTGCCTCCCTGCACTTTGTGGTCATGTATTCCATCATTTCGTCTACTCTTTCCCTCTAGCTCGCTTACCCACTGCATCCCATGTAGGAATTGCCTCATACTTGTGTAGCCCGCCCTTTTTTGGAAGTTAGTGGTGTGTGTAGGGCTGAGAGTGTAGCTAACGGTGTTGCTGAGGCCGTGGCTTGAAGGCATAACTGAGGGAGTGACAGAATATGACTAAGGATGTAGCTGAGCGCATCTCTAAGGAAGCCTTTTCAGGGTGTGGTTGATAATATTGCTTAAGGTGTGGCTGACTGAGAATGTGGTCGTTGTCGTGTGTTACTCAGCGATCAGTGTTATTATAGTTATGTTTTTATTGTTCCCGATATACATCATGGAAGTCGCCATGTTCAGGGTTTCCTGAATATGGTGACTGCAATTTAAACCGCTCGCTGCCCTGACAGCACATCTGCAGTACAGTATTCTGCCTACAGAGCGTCGCTAGCGGGGCGACCTGACTCTCCAGAGGAGGGGACAGACTACGAGGTCTTCCTGGAGGCTGAGTTACATGGTAAACTGGCCGGCAGATGTGAGGAACGCTACCACCAGTGTCACACCTCACCCTTCGATCTCATCCCTAACGTTCACCACACCCTCAGCTAGTGGCCCTCCCAACCCTGAAGATGTTGTCTTTGAGGGACATGTTATAGGTACACTTTCAGGGATACCTTATTATTCAACACATCACGTGTGACGGTTCCAGTTCCATACCCTGGCCAGTGTATATATATTGCATATATAATATGTATTTATTGTTTATATTTATATCTATTTTATTTACTGAATTCAAGATTTTGACTTCTGCATAAGTGACGTCTAACTGCTTGACTTCTATCACCCTCAGAGTTCGCGATAATATAATGAAGTTTTTAACATAAATGTATTTTAGTTAACCACAACAATAATTTTCTTTGTTCTATTCACGTTGATGGAGGCAATAGATGTGTGAATGACACTTAAATGATGAACTACGTCTGGCAGGAGAACGTAAACATCATTTAAATATGCATCGTTTATATAGTGTTCATACATACTGTGTTAGTGTTCATACATACTGTGTTAGTGTTCATACATACTGTGTTAGTGTTCATACATACTGTGTTAGTGTTCATACATACTGTGTTAGTGTTCATACATACTGTGTTAGTGTTCATACATACTGTGTTAGTGTTCATAAATACTGTGTTAGTGTTCATAAATACTGTGTTAGTGTTCATACATACTGTGTTAGTGTTCATAAATACTGTGTTAGTGTTCATAAATACTGTGTTAGTGTTCATACATACTGTGTTAGTGTTCATTCATACTGTGTTAGTGTTCATACATACTGTGTTAGTGTTCATACATACTGTGTTAGTGTTCATACATACTGTGTTAGTGTTCATACATACTGTATATGTGTTCATACATACTGTGTTAGTGTTCATACATACTGTATTAGTGTTCATACATACTGTGTTAGTGTTCATACATACTGTGTTAGTGTTCATACATACTGTATTAGTGTTCATACATACTGTGTTAGTGTTCATACATACTGTGTTAGTGTTCATAAATACTGTGTTAGTGTTCATACATACTGTGTTAGTGTTCATTCATACTGTTAGTGTTCATACATACTGTATTAGTGTTCATACATACTGTGTTAGTGTTCATACATACTGTGTTAGTGTTCATACATACTGTATTAGTGTTCATACATACTGTGTTAGTGTTCATACATACTGTGTTAGTGTTCATACATACTGTGTTAGTGTTCATACATACTGTGTTAGTGTTCATACATACTGTGTTAGTGTTCATACATACTGTGTTAGTGTTCATACATACTGTATTAGTGTTCATACATACTGTGTTAGTGTTCATACATACTGTTAGTGTTCATACATACTGTGTTAGTGTTCATACATACTGTGTTAGTGTTCATACATACTGTGTTAGTGTTCATACATACTGTTAGTGTTCATACATACTGTATTAGTGTTCATACATACTGTGTTAGTGTTCATACATACTGTGTTAGTGTTCATACATACTGTGTTAGTGTTCATGCATACTGTTAGTGTTCATACATACTGTATTAGTGTTCATACATACTGTGTTTGTATTCATACATACTGTTTGTGTTCATACATACTGTTAGTGTTCATACATACTGTATTAGTGTTCATACATACTGTATTAGTGTTCATACATACTGTTAGTGTTCATACATACTGTGTTAGTGTTCATACATACTGTATTAGTGTTCATACATACTGTTAGTGTTCATACATACTGTGTTAGTGTTCATACATACTGTGTTAGTGTTAATACATACTGTTAGTGTTCATACATACTGTGTTAGTGTTCATACATACTGTGTTAGTGTTAATACATACTGTTAGTGTTCATACATACTGTATTAGTGTTCATACATACTGTTTGTATTCATACATACTGTTTGTGTTCATACATACTGTTAGTGTTCATACATACTGTATTAGTGTTCATACATACTGTTAGTGTTCATACATAGTGATAAAATAGTGTTCATAGATACTGTTAAAATGCAGTGCTCATACATATTGTGTTACAATAGTGTTCATACATACAATGTTGAAACAGTGTTTATAGTGTTAAAAATAAAATATTCATACATATAGTGTTCAAATACAGTACTCATATATAGTATTGAAATACAATATTCATATATACAGTGGTAATAAAACACATTTTTTTAACATTCCATTATTTTGGGGTAACTTTATGGTATGGTCATGGGGGGTTCACTCCCATGACTGACATAAAAAGGCTTATTACCTATTTTATTGAGATTTTTTTTAAATATATAATTTTATGGGGGTAATGTTAACAGTTAGCTTTTGTTTACTTATTAAATGGAATAATAAAGGTAGGATAATAAAATACTTTTATGTATTTTTGACAAATTTTGATAATATTCGAGAAATAAAGAATACCATGAGTTGTGCCACCTGGTATGTGTGACCTGACACCTGGTATGTGTGACCTGACACCTGGTATGTGTGTGACCTGACACCTGGTGTGTGTGACCTGACACCTGGTATGTGTGTGACCTGACACCTGGTGTGTGTGACCTGACACCTGGTATGTGTGTGACCTGACACCTGGTATGTGTGTGACCTGACACCTGGTGTGTGTGACCTGACACCTGGTATGTGTGATCTGACACCTGGTATGTGTGACCTGAGACCTGGTATGTGTGTGTGTGACCTGACACCTGGTGTGTGTGACCTGACACCTGGTATGTGTGACCTGACACCTGGTATGTGTGACCTGACACCTGGTATGTGTGTGACCTGACACCTGGTGTGTGTGACCTGACACCTGGTATGTGTGACCTGACACCTGGTGTGTTGTGACCTGACACCTGGTGTGTGTGACCTGACACCTGGTGTGTGTGACCTGACACCTGGTATGTGTGACCTGACACCTGGTATGTGTGATCTGACACCTGGTATGTGTGACCTGACACCTGGTGTGTGACCTGACACCTGGTGTGTTGTGACCTGACACCTGGTGTGTGTGACCTGACACCTGGTGTGATGAGTGACCTGACACCTAGTGTGTGTGACCTGACACCTGGTATGTGTGACCTGACACCTGGTATGTGTGTGACCTGACACCTGGTGTGTGTGACCTGACACCTGGTATGTGTGTGACCTGACATCTGGTGTGTGTGTGACCTGACACCTGGTGTGTGTGACCTGACACCTGGTATGTGTGTGACCTGACACCTGGTATGTGTGTGACCTGACACCTGGTGTGTGTGACCTGACACCTGGTATGTGTGACCTGACACCTGGTATGTGTGACCTGACACCTGGTATGTGTGACCTGACACCTGGTATGTGTGACCTGACACCTGGTATGTGTGACCTGACACCTGGTGTGTTGTGACCTGACACCTGGTGTGTGTGACCTGACACCTGGTGTGTGATGAGTGACCTGACACCTGGTGTGTGTGACCTGACACCTGGTGTGTTGTGCGACCTGACACCTGGTGTGTGACCTGACACCTGGTATGTGTGACCTGACACCTGGTGTGTGACCTGACACCTGATGTGTGACCTGACACCTAGTGTGTTGTGCGACCTGACACCTGGTGTGTGTGACCTGACATCTGTGTGACCTGACACCTGGTGTGTGACCTGACACCTGGTGTGTGTGTGACCTGACACCTGGTGTGTGTTGTGTTACCTGGCACCTGGTGTGTTGACCTGACACTTGGTGTGTGTGACCTGACACCTGGTGTGTGATCTGACACCTGGTATGTGTGACCTGACACCTGGTGTGTGTGACCTGACACCTGGTGTGTGTTGTGTGACCTGACACCTGGTGTGTGTGACTTGACACCTGGTGTGTGTGACCTGACACCTGGTGTGTGTGAAGTGTGACCTGACACCTGGTGTGTGTGTGAACTGACACCTGGTGTGTGACCTGATACCTGGTGTGTGACCTGGCACCTGGTGTGTTGTGTGACCTGACACCTGGTGTGTGTTTTGTGACCTGACATCTGGTGTCTTGTGTGACCTGACACCTGGTGTGTTGTGTGACCTGACATCTGGTATGTGTGACCTGGCACCTGGTGTGTGTGTTGTGTGACTTGACATCTGGTGTGTGTTTTGTGACCTGACACCTGGTGTGTGTTGTGACCTGACACCTGGTGTTGTATGACCTGACACCTGGTGTGTGTTGTGTGACCTGACACCTGGTGTGTGTTGTGTGACCTGACACCTGGTGTGTGTGTTGTGTGACCTGACATCTGGTGTGTGTGTAACCTGACACTTGGTGTGTGTTGTGACCTAACATCTGGTGTGTGACCTTACACTTGGTGTGTGTGACCTGATACCTGGTGTGTGTGTTACCTGACACCTGATGTGTGTGTGATCTGACACCTGGTGTGTTTTGTGTGACCTGTCACGTGGTGTGTGTGACCTGACACCTGGTATGTGTTGTGTGACCTGACACTTTGTGTTGTGTGACCTGACATCTGGTGTGTGACCTGACACCCGGTATGTGTGACCTGATACCTGTTGTGTGACCTGACACCTGGTGTGTTGTGTGACCTGACACCTGGTGTGTGTTGAGTGACCTGCCACCTGGTGTGTGTGAGACCTGACACCTGGTGTGTGTTGTGTGACCTGACACCTGGTGTGTTGTGACTTGGCACTTGGTGTGTGTGGCCTGACACCTGGTGTTGTGACCTGACACTTGGTATGTGTCTGTGATCTGACACCTGGTATGTGTGTATGCGTTGTGTGACCTTACACACCTGGTGTGTGTTGTATGACCTGACACCTGGTGTGTGTTACCTGACATTTGGTGTGTGGCCTGACACCCGATGTGTTTTGTGTGATCTGACACCCGGTGTGTGTTGTGTGACCTTACACCAGGTGTGTGTGCTGTTACCTGACACCAGGTGTGTGCTGTTACCTGACACCAGGTGTGTGTTGTATGACCTGCCACCTGGTGTGTGTGAGACCTGACACCAGGTGTGTATCGTGTGACCTGACACCTCGTGTGTATTGTGGGACCTGCCACCTGGTGTGTGTTGTGTAACTTAGCTCCTAATGTGCGTATTATGTGACCTAACACATGGTGTGTGTGTGTGTCTGTATTAGGTGACCTGACGTAGGTACATAACTTGTAATGTTACCTAACATGGATCCATGACTTGTGTTGTGATATGGCTTTCCTTCATGACCTGTAACGTGGCTGACATGTGACATGTTATGGAGTCCATGGCCTGTGACATGGCCCGACATAATCCCATCGAATGACATCACATGGATGGGAGTACCACCAGCAGGGTGAAAGTAAACTAAAAAATATTTAGAATATATTTTTACGAGAAATGGATTGATCAAGTCTAAATAAACCAGGACTGATAATGAAAATGAATACTTATCAAACTTGATTATTCTCGATTTGACTTTTTTTGTCAATCAATATTACAGAAGCATCAGTAATTTAATTGTGAATCCAATCAACATACTGGCAGCAATAGTTGATGAGGTTGAGAACTGTGCATGATGACTGACCAGTCTTGAAGCTATATAGGTGTTGCTTAATTT